GGACAAGTAACAGGAGCTCACTCTGTTATGCAGCAGTAGGGATTCGAACTGCCAAACTGCCGACCTTTCTGATTGACAAGCTCAGTGTCTTAGACACTGAGTCTCCGCGTCCCTTGAAGGAAGCATAAGAACAGTTATATACTTATTTCAAATGCCCTTCAGTTTTGCCTTCCTGTCGTTGCTATTATGATTGTGCATCACTTTCAATTCAAAGGACAAAATGTGAATTTAGAACATGGGGTTTGCATGCATCAAGAACACCTTGAACTAAACTTATGTAGCAACCAAAAGAGCAGCTATGTAAGCTCCAGGAAAAGATGCAGGTCCTTGAACGAGTTTCTAGTAGGTGTTGCATCTGGCCCATGAATCATATTTCGCCATTTAGATATTAAGTTTGAGCAACCCACATTTTTATTATTATTTTTGAGGTACCCATTGTGATTTTATTGCCCACATTTGTACGTTACCCTTCTCTTACGGCAGCTCATTCTTTTTATCCTGGAAAACAACTTGCCTAATGTGAAATTTACAGCTACACTGAAGGACCAGAAATCAGAAGCCTTATAGTTCAATACTTTGTACTATGTGTAGCCTACTTACTCCAGCCCTAAATATCCAGGGATCTTCATACATCTGATATATATTAGCAATGAGAAATAATAGTAATTATTAATATTTCAGAAAAATGCATTGTGAGCAAAAATTGTTAGAGCAGTGGGGGCAGGGTTGTTAAAAAAGCTTTGTAAAGCTCGGTTTACAAGTGCTCCATATTGAAGATCGAGCTTCAGATACTTCTACTTTTTCCCCCTGTGGTCGTTGCCAACATTTTTGTGATTGCAAGATGACATTCAAGAAGGAATAAGTTGACCCAAATTTCTCCCTTTTCTGCTCCTTCTTATAGGTCCCCTGTGAGCGTGGATGGTGATGTGATCAGCCTGTGTTGCAATCCGAAGACCAAAACAGTGGCTCTGCAACTTTCTGATGGGCAAATCCTGAAGTATCTGTGGGGTATGTGTGATGTACTCCATTAGTTTGGGCTTGGAACAGAATCCAAGTGTTTGTTCCACCTAGGAAGGAATTGCTATGGTCTTGAACACCCATGAGTCAGCTTGCCCAGTAGCCAAAGTTAACCAAGACAGAAAATATTCCAGCTGCTTCTTTTCCCTAGCAGAGGAAATAGAATTATGAAGCTTGGAAAGTAAAAACAAATTAATGTACTTCCATAATTTCACAACCATATGCTAGCTCATATAGCCACCTCATAAAGCGGTATTGGGTGGAAATGCTTTATTTCAGATTAAGGCAGTTTTATGCTCAAATAACCTGAAAATTCATGGACTGGTTTTGCAATTTTCTTGCACTGTTCATGTTCAAATTTGCAAATTCCCAAGGCCCAGTCTGCTGGACTAGAGAAAACTGCTTTTCGTTATTTTCTTCTCAGAAAAAAAAAAGAAATTGCATGATAGTTCTTGTACACAGGAGCCCTGATTTGACTTGTAATGCATCTTTGAGGCCCCAAAATTTGCCTATCTCTGCTTTCTATGCTGTACTATGGTGCATTGTGTATATGAAACACAATAAACCTGCATTTTGAGGTATCTAATGATCTCTTTGAAGATTTCAAAGCATGAAAACATGTCAGGAAGATTTGAAGTGAAGGAGGTTCTTAAGGCCCAACTATCCTACTTTTCCTACTAATTGTCTTGTCAGCTTCCCAAACATGTAAATTATGGACATTCATAATTTATGTGCAAAGATTTGGGGGGCAGCCTCTTGCTCTATAAGATGCCATGTTAACTGAAACCAACATAGTTTCTCGGAATATGAAACTAAATGAATCAAATTGCACCTACTAATATGTACCTGGGTTTCCTAAATATTGATAATCAATCCGCTCTCCCTTATGCTCCAGGAGCTGAAAAACCAGTTGCTATCCCCTGGATGAAAAATAATGGTTCCTCTGTTCGGTTTCCATCCCCCTGTATGCAGACGAAACTAGCTGTAATTGACGGGGAAGTAAGTAAACAAGTATGGAAATCTTGGGCTGTGCCAGTTGTCCACCATGCATCTCCCCTGGGTGTTTCTTGCTTAAATAACCTTTGTCTGTGGCTATTCTTCCTATTCCCATTTGTACATTGTGAGTAGAAAAGCACAGAACTGCTCATAGCACATAACATCTTAGAGTTAATATACTTTCAGCTATGCAGAAATTATCGGTTGTGATAAATTGGCTTGCAAAACCACTTGGTGTCATCATAGGTAGATCCTTTTTCCTGAAGTATTTAACTATGATTGTTTGTGGAAAGTCCAGGAAAAGAATGGAAAAAGGACAGAGGTAGCAGGCAAGTCAATTGACAGCTTCTCTTATAAATGACAACATGATTGGATAGCAAGAAACTTCGGAAGAAATATTTCAAATCATTTAAAGTTATGCCTCCTTAATTAACTTACTACAAATGAGGGTGGAAAGTTCCTCTTATGTTTCCCCAATGTTCTGTATTTGCTTCAAAACTATCCAATGGAAATCTGTATAGTTCTTGTTTCTTTGATCTTGCCTGGCTGCTTGGAGCTTGATAGACAAACTTGCATACTTAGCGTTCAAGTTCTCTGGGCTTCAAGATAATGACTACATTTATGTAGCAAACCCAGGCTACCTCTATTTTGAAAAATCCACATAAATATTTGAACTCCCTAAATTTCCACATGAATCAGAGCAGTCGTTTTTGAAATAACAAAAAAAAAAGGTTATGTGAGGAACAAGAAGGAAAGTCAAGGAAGCAGTTGGTCTTCTGGTTGGAGAACATGACAAAACGTAACAAGCAATAGGAAGAAGGCTGAACTGCTTAATTTCTATTTTACTGTGTTTTTGCTAGAGGAAAAAGTGATCCAGTAGGTCAGAAGCTGCACCAGCTAGGAGAGAGCTTTATGACAGTACTGTATCTTGAAAATCCTAGAAAAGATAATTGAGCAGAGTGCAAACATTTAGAAAGCAGTAAAGTGATTACGGTACTTGAAGCCAGCATAAGTTTGTTAAAAAATAAGTTGTGCCAATGTAATAATATGAGGTTTTTTGACTTAATGACTAGATTACAAGGTGAATCCAAAGTTCTTACATCTCAATAAGTGGCTTGCTAAAGTTGACCCTAACATACATAATATTCCTTCCTCCTTTTCTTCTTTTTCCTCACAACAATAATTCTGTGAAGTAAGTTAAGATGAAGGAGAGTAGCCCAAAGTCACCCAGCTGGCTTTCATGTCTACGACATAAAACTAGAATTCACAGTAACCTGGTTTCTAGACCAGCACCTTAACTATGACACTGAACTGGTTCTCATCAGAATTAAGAGCATTGTGTTTGGTTTCTTTGTTCTGTTTTCTAACTCCGGTTTCCATTCTGCTTTTCTTTCTTAGGAAACCATATTTGGCTTGACTGACAGATGCCGTTTTTTTATTAATGATACTGAGGTACTGATTGTTCTCATGGCTTTATATCATCTGTTATGTCCATAATCCTTTAATGTCTCCCCAATCAACTGGCAGTTTGATTGACTCCTTTTCATAGGTTTCTTCAAATATTACATCCTTTTCCATCAGTGATGAATTTCTCTTATTGACTACACATTCCCATACTTGTCAGTGCCTGCCTGTAAGGAACACATCCCTGAAAGGTAAAAATCACAATTTCTTATCTCTTGATCACAGGCACCCTTCTACAAATATGTTTGTTCATTTATGAAGAACTATTCCTTGTGAGTTTTCCAAGATCCTGTTGGACTCCTGCTTTTTTATAGTCATTCACTTTTCTGTGGGAGAGTAGCACAAAGAGGATGAGCCTGGCAATCCCAAACTTTACAATCTCATTTTCAAAATACCAGTTGAAATGCCATTTTAAACGTTCTTCTGTATGCATGTTGCAAAATATTGTCATGATGAGAATGAAGGTTATGGTGTTTCATCCTGACCTTGTCTTCCTTTGCTGCATTTCCTATGTACACACGCATTTTAGGTTGTCTATGCCCAAGAGAATTTAGGGATGGAAGCAATACAAATTGCATGTTATTGGGCAGGTACATATAGCAAGGTGTCAAATATGGCCTACTATTTCTTTGCACACATTTATAGATGGATATATACAAATTTACATATAAATAAACCAAGTAAAACAGAGGAAAGACTCCTTTTATTTATTCAACAATGTCACCATTTCAAAGATGATCAGGACATTCTTTCTACTTATTAGACAGTGGGTGTGTTTAAGTTCTTAAGGAGAAATCTCAGTCCAATTAATCTCATTCCAGTTTTGGGCATATTTGTGTCCAACTTTATAGAGAGGTCATAATGCTTGAGTTGAGACCATGCTTATTTAATTGAAAATAGCATCTATTGTGACATTATAAATTTTGTCTCTCTGGGAAAGAAGGAAATATTAATGTTCATATCACTGAGTACCACTACAATTGATCCTGAGGAGGTGGGGTAGCATTAACCTGAATAATAAGTAAATATATTGGGATATTTACACTAGGATTTTCAAGTCATATTCCAAATTACTATGTAGGATTTTCACTACTGCATTTTATGATTTCATGCTTTAATTTTGAGTGTAGGTGTGTCCCATTCATAAAAGCTGATAGGGCTTAAAGTTGGGTTTTTATGCTATTGACTGTGGCACCTTCAGCTTTGCAAACAGGTCTGGGCAGCACTTCTCTCCCCAAAAGTGAAACTCTGCGCAAGATTGAAAGAGGAGCCCGGATAGTCACAGTTGTGCCACAACACACAAAGCTGATATTGCAGGTTAGTGTTTCTTCTTTATGCATATACCCCCAAATGATTGTAGAGAGTCCTTCATATAGTCCTTCATTTTTCAATTAAAAATAAATTGAAACCTCCCATCATCCAGCTGGCTGTTGTTGCAGTATACCTTTCAGACAGCAGCCTCATCTATGCTATCAAATATCTACTCATATGGGAAAAAATAGCATATTGGATGGAATAAAGAGTGTTAATTCAAACTTAGGGTATCACTCTATTTACAGTGTACAGTAGTACAATATATCGAAACCATACTGTGTGATTTTCCTGAATTGGCCTAGATAGATGGAGGTCTATTAGGGGAGGTATATTTATAAAATACATATGTGCCTAGATGAGGATGAAACACAGACAGTTGTTGTGTCTCATTCCATATGGAGACTTCAGAGTTGGTGTATCAGCAAACACATGTGCAAAATATGCTGAATGGCCTGGAGTTCAGTAAAGGCTCAGCCAGAAGTATTTTATTGGTTTATTTAGCATATAATCATAATTTTTATTAGCATGTTCAACTGATTTCATGAGTTCTACTCCAAACCACTATTGAACTGAAAGCTTGATGCTTCTTGTACTAAAGGTGTTTGATGTCAAGTGACTACAGATCAGTAAGAGCCATCTGTGGGTCCTCCTCTGCTTCATAGTGAATTTATACTGGGATCTCTATAGGTGCCAAGAGGAAACTTGGAAGCTATTCATCATCGAGCCCTTGTTCTAGCTCAGGTTCGGAAATGGCTGGATAGGTGAGTTGAGCTAACTAACATCTATACGAGTTGGCCTCAGAGAGGCTGCACATCTTGATGTTTCTGCAGCCATATTGGAACTGACAAACTCTTTTCTGCCTCTCCTGCTAGCCTCCAATTTAAAGAAGCATTTGAATGTATGAGGAAGCTACGAGTCAATCTCAACTTGCTCTATGACCACAATCCAAAGGCGAGTAGAAGCTCTTGGCTCAGTGGGCATCTTCCGAAGGGTTGGCAGATAGACTGAAAAGAGAGTCCTGGGAATTCAAATGATAGTCTTTCAGGATGAGGACAGGGAGATGTCACCTCTTTTTGCCACCACTTGGTCTTTAAGAGTCATTAATACATTCACCAAGCTCATAATGGATTGATGGCATGGAGGGCGGTTGATACAGTATATCCGTTTATATGATCAGCTAGGAAAAAGGGAAAACTCTGAAGCAAGATATAAACCTGATTAGATGCCAACACATTTCCTATTTTTAAATCAAAGTTAGTGATTTAGTGGATTGGGAAATCTTGCTATATTGCAGCACAATGTAATTATTTTCCAATGAGTAGAGTGGCTGCATGGGAATAATTCAGGCTTTCCATCAGAATGTGGTGAACAATGAGAGTCACTTCATGATAATTGGAGTATTTTTTCCATTTCAAATAGATACTTGTACAGTATATGGCAGTTTAATTAAAATTTAATGATATTTACTTTCTTTTCAGGTTTTCTTAAATCACGTGGAAAGATTTATAAAACAAATTGATTCTGTAAATTATATCAACCTGTTCCTCACAGAACTGAAGTGAGTATTTGGCTTTTACGATTGGCTTTTAAGACAGAGTGCTAACTGCTTCTTACATCTTGAAGTGGATTTTGAAATAGTGAAATGGGTTAGGAATACTTTCTTCTAATTCTAGTAATCTTGCTGTTTTGAAATTTGCTCCCTTTGGTGCCAGAAAAAATAAATGGTACTATAAATCGGTTTTTCCATCAGCATCAAAGCTATTCTGTGTTTTTAAAAAGAGACATCTTGGTTTTTTTAAATACATGAATATGCAAGACATAATTAGATTCCATCCAACTCCAGCAAATATTTAATATGCTGAGTGAGATCAGCATGAGGATCCTTAAAACTATATGAAGCGAAAAAGAATAAAATAATCTGGATTACCCATAGGAATTGAGGCAAAGTTCCCCAATTGAATTGCAATTCATGTATGCTGGATTAAAACTGTACCATTACTGTCTCTCCAGCCAGTAGTCATGTTAAGAGTTATGATCCAGTGTATTAAGAGGAACTCAGGTTGAGGAATGCAAGGCTAGGTTAGTAGAAGAGAGGAAATGGAACATTTTGGTTGAAACTTGATAAGTGCATTGGGACTTATTGATTGGGAATAGCAGAGAAGTTATCAAAATAACTGTTCAGAGAAGGTTCTGTTTCTATGACATTTAAATATATTTAATTTCTGAAGCCAGATTTTGCAATCTGCCCAAACTGCAAATTCAGTTACTTTTCTTATATTTTCTGGTTTCTTCTCTGTTTTTTTTTTACTTGAATAGAAGTAAAACTTATAGGAAGGGATCTAAAGAATGTATTTGATGAAATGGATGAGGCTGAAATTTGTCTATTGGCTTAGCTTCTGAGTGTTTTGTCGATTTGGTTGCATATTTTCAAGAATACTATGGATGTTCTAAGGGATAGGAATTGTATTAATAAAAGCTCAGTTTTGTCCCCAAACACTTTGTTTCTTATTTTTGAGGAAACTTTTGAGGCATATAGTTTGACTCTATCAAATATTTTTGGTAAATATTATTGCTTGACACTATTACACTGTGTATATGTACATTTGCTTTGTAAATGTAGTAAGGTCATTTTTTTCCTTTCCTAGAGAAGAAGATTTCACAAAAACAATGTACCCCCCTCTGGATCTCACCAGTGTCAATGAATTGCACTCTTCCAATAATAAAAAGATTAATATCATCTGTGATGCCATGAGACAAGCAATGGAGAACATCAGTGCTACTAAGTATGGGACATAAAATTACAAAACATCTACATATACAAAGGCAGTTTCAGTACAGTATCAGACTTTTAACAAGTGGTAACGAAGCCCCAGATGCAGTCCCATACTTAGTCTTAATGATAGTCCATCTTCAGAAAGCAGCTCAAGTGCAAGAGTTATGAAAAGGAAAGACATATCTATCTCTCCTCACTTTTTACAGGTTGATGGACCTTCACCAATTGAAAAAAGAGGGAATGGTACTTCTGATTTAAGGAGTAGAAAGCATATCATGTCTCTTTTCTGTCTATCAAGACATGCTGCATTCATACATGCTATAGTGCCAGACTTTTTAAAAAGTTTCCCAATCTTTCAACACATAGATCACAGGTGTTAAACTTGCTACGTTGCCATTATGTGACGTTTCACAATATTTTTCCCTTTCACAGAGCTGGGGTGTATGTAGCCTGTGCATGATATATCCAGCCCATGGGCTGCCAGTTTGACACCCCTGACATAGATCATTCAACCCCATTTTCAACTGGGAAATTGGGACTGCATACAATATATATAATACAGATCATGAATACAAACAACAAACTTCCTTTAAAAGTTTGCAATCTTGTGGGGCCTTGTTACTGGCTGTCTAGGGTCACACACATTGATACAAGCCAATGCCTGTTTAGAATGAAGAATAGATTTGGAAAAAGAAAACTAACCCTTTCTTCCAGGTTAATAATACTTCAGTGATGTTCCTGCAAAATTCTGTTTGTTTTATTGGGCTCTAATCAAATAGCTCATTTTAAAAATTTCTGGGTGTACTAGTAGTAGAATTCAGTAGCAGTCCTACATCAATCCGAATTGTCACGAGAGAATTAAAAAAAACAAAAAAAACAAAGCTTTAAAGTTCCCAATTTTAACTCTTCCTTTTTTTCCCCCTGGACTCTTTAGGTACTACTTAGCCATACTGACTTCTCATGTCAAAAAGAGTCCTCCAGAACTGGAAACGGCCCTGCAGAGAATTCGTCAGCTTCAAGGTGCAGTATTGCATTAGATTGTTCCATAGTCCTATGGCTATCCAAATCATAATTCAAGTAACCAGTATGTAGAGCACACTTCCTACCAATTTCTCCTTTATTGTGTGTGAGTAAGTAAACATCAGGAATGGTAGAGTTTCAAATGGCAGCCAAATTAATATTGTGATTTATTCTACTCAAGCAAAACAGATTAAAACACAGACACACACAGACACACACAAACACACAAATATGTTGCGTGACAATGGCTTTTGTTTTTCTCTTTGAAATGCAATTTACAAGCGTTAAATTACTGAGTGGCATGAATCCATATTGCATAGAGAATAAAGATGTGTGTGTGTGTGTGTGTGTGTGTGTGTGTGTGTGTGTGTACGTACGTACATATACAATATATCTATATATCTATATCTATCTATGCTAAAAAGTAAATGGATGGACAGATAACACACATCTTCATATTTACTGTAAATCTAAAGTGTTTCCAAAAGTCAGTACTCCATATTGAATGGCAAGAGAGAGATATGGTGGAGTGGGAATAGAGTAGAGAGGGAGAAGCTTTCTTCAGGGCTCCAATGACAAGGGGCTGGGGTTCTCTAAGTAATGATATTGACTATTCATAACTCTGATCAAGAGGTAAAATTGCCTGTCAGTCAAGTTGAGAGCAAATTGCCCTCTTATGCACCTTCTTACACAGATTGCTGTTGAGGATCTCCTCACTGAAAAGGTGAGCATCATTTCAAAGGCCAGTGCAGCCATTCAGATTTTTGACACAAGGCAACATAATCAGGATAAAGCAACAGAGCTTAGACCAGTTTCCCACTACTGAGTTAGAATCTCTTCATAGCATTCCCAAGCCATCATTGAAATGATGCAATATCTTGCTATGTCTTTTGCACAAAAAGTATTCAGTAATTCTGGAAGATGCTAAAATGGAAATGACTTTATTGTTCTTTGGTTCATTCAATATCCACTCACTCAAAGCAAGGTAACAATGAGTTCCAAAGTATCTCTTAGGATACTGTTTTACTATAGAATAGAAATTGAAACGTGATTTTCACTTCCTTCCCCACAAGATATCTGTCAGAAGAAAGGCATTCCTTACAAATCTTTTATGGAAGAGGATAGGAGAAAATAGCAGGAATTGGTAGCTGGCAATTCTGATTCAAGGATGTAATCACAACAAAAGGAGAAAGTATTTCAGTATATTTATCAGAAAAGTACCTCCGTATTGCCTATTAGCAAAAATAGTCTTTTGTCCAAAGCTAGGGTTTACTCATTACATTATTGCCTTTTTTTTCTGGATAAAGTTTTGCTTTGTCAGTATTGAATTCATAAAGACTGAATCCATATTATACATGGAAACAATGTCTGGCTTTTAAATAAAATTAATCTTAACAGGACAGACTTCAGAAACAGTTGGATCTGTCAGAGTGGAAGAAGCATTGAAATACCTCCTGTATCTGGTGGATGTCAGCGAATTGTATGATTATTCATTGGGGACATATGACTTTGATTTAGTCATCATGGTTGCCGAGAAGTCTCAGAAGGTAGGATTGGATCTTGTTCTGATTCCATAAATCTTGGTCTAGCTATATTATGAGAAAAATTATAAAATGCATTCAAACATTGCCACCATCACCACTCAAACTCTTTAGCATTTATAAAATACAATAAATTATACATTGTGCAAGTCTTACTTGTTTTTCAGTATTGCTTTTTCTGTTGCTCAGCCACATTATTACATTTCATTAGCCATTTGGATATTTAATTAGACTGTCAACAACGACTCATTCTTTTGTGTGTATGAGAGAGAGAGAGAGAGAGAGAGAGAGAGAGAGAGAGAGAGAGAGAGTACATTTATGGTTTCCATAATATCAGAAGTAACAGTGTGGGGTCATCAACAAAGCCATGTATGATTTCATAGTGAATAGAATAAATTACCCATGAGCAAAATGATAAACAAAAGAATTGGTACAGAAAACAATACCAAAAGGTACAAATATGTTTGTAACAAGTATCAGAAATTAGTTTGGTGGCCCCTCTTCATGTAAAGAAAAGCATGCTATTGCAGTGTTTTTTAATTACTGTGGCAATTCAGTCCTAATGTTACTTTTTTTTTATTTGCAGGATCCTAAGGAATATCTTCCATTTTTAAACAAACTTAAGAAAATGGAAATCAATTATCAGCGATATTCAATAGACAAATATTTGAAGAGATTTCCAAAGGCTCTCTACCACCTTAGTAAATGTGGTATGTACATTGGAAATATGAATAAACAATACCTTTTGTTTTAGCATCATTATACTGCCTAAAAATGACTAAAATTGCTGATGGCCATCCTTTTTTGTAAACCTGATAAGGAAGCCATTGAGTTTCTGAACCCATGGAAGAGCATGTATTCAGCCCATCATGCTTTAGGAAAGGCTTTGAATCAGCTCAGTGGAGACTGTGAGGATAGAAATAGTAAAGAGGGAGGAGATCTTTTCAGGCCAATGGAATGTTGAGGATGGATCCCTGTGGGGGGAATTATGCATTAAAAAATGGTGATGTAGAACATAAAATCTGATGAATTAGAAGATAAACATATGAGGCTCCTCCCCAGTTGCTTCTATCTTCTTCTTTGTTTAAAAAAATCTGTTGTTTTTTTTTTTTTAATGGGTAAGTGGCCACCAAGGGAGATGCAGTATATTGTGCCTCCAAAAACCCAGGTCTGATATATTTGTACTATGCAGTCATCCAGATTTGAAAAATAAAAATAAAGGATTTGAAGTATGAATGATTTGGACTGCAAGCTGTAGAAACTGTTTCTTGGATTTGGGCATCTTACATGTTGCAGTTTAAAATAAAATGTTGTCCTGTCAAACTAGTTCCAACAGACCTGTGCAAAGCTTTGTCTTTTGAGTGTCAGAAGAAAATATCTATTGTTTTTCTCAGGCTCAGAACATTTTCCAGAGTTCCTAAATTTGGTGGTTGATCAGAATTTGTATAATGAAGCCCTCAAGCTCTGTTTGCCAGGCACACAAGAATATAAGGTACACAAATAGTTTTCCATCCATCTTTATTTGCTGTCCTTTACTGGTGAGAGCAGACAGCTGTACTCAAGTCCTAAAATATGTGCTACATAGTGGCAGATATCTTTCTCTGAACATTTCCTTTCTTTATCAAATCCAGAGTACTTTAGCTAGAAGCTCCTCTTGCATAAAATTTGTGGTTTGTGACTTCTGGTTCATGTAAGCTTTTAAATGTGATCTGTTGTCTTTAGAATTAGAAAAGTAATCTGATCTGTAATTGTCTGCCTTAAAGGTTGTGTAGAATCTGATTCCCTTAGAAATCTGCCAGGGATTCCTTCTTGGAAGGTTTCGTAAAGCAAAGTGAATTCTCTGATACTTTTTCCATGCATACTATTCAGTCTTCCCCCGAATGTGCATTGGAAAGAGCAACTACAAGTAATCCTCAACTTGTGACCACAATTTAACCCAGAATTTATGTTGCTAAGGGAGAAATTTGGTAAGCGAGTTTTGTCCCATTTTACAACTTTTCTTGCCACATTTAATAAATGAATTCCAGGCATTAAATTACTGGTAGTTACACGGTTGTTAATTGAATCTGGCTTCCCCATGGACTTTGCTTGCCAGAAGGTCACAAAACATGATTGCATGACCTCTGGACACCACAACTGTCATAAATATGAACCAGTTCTCAAGCATCCAAATGTAAATCATGTGACCCTGGGGATGCTGCAAAGATCATAAGTATGAAAAATGTCATAAGTCACTTTTGTCAGTGCCGTTGTAACTTTGAACCGTCACTAAATGAACTGTTGTAAGTTGAAGACTGCCTGTAGTAAAAGACAAAATTATAGCACATCTTCAGATCAGAGGTGGTATTCAGTAGGTTCTGACCAGTTCTGGAGAACCAGTAGCGGAAATTTTGAGTAGTTCGGAGAACCAGCAAATACCACCTCTGGCTGGCCCTGCCCCCATCTATTCTCTGCCTCCCGAGTCCCAGCTGATCGGGAAGGAATGGGGATTTCTCAGTATCCTTCCCCTGCCACACTCACCAAGTCCGCCCACCAAGCCATGCCATACCCACCAAGCCACGCCCACAGAACTGGTATTAAAAAGTTTTGAATCCCACCACTGCCTTCAAATGCTTCTCAACCTCACCTACACAGAGAGGGTAGATAGCCTGTGCTCCTTTGGCAGATGAGTAACAGAATGGGCACTTTACAATTTCATTTAGACCTCTGCCAGTCATCTACAAAAAGTCAAGAACAATCAGCTCTTTGATCTGTGAGAAGGCCCAGGTCCATTTCCTCATAACTGTCTTTTGCAGACTATCAGTTATGCCTACGGAGAATATTTAATCCAGAAGCATCTTGCTGGACAAGCTGGGCTGATCTTCTTCCGATGTGGTGCCTTTGAGAAAGCTCTGGATGCTTTTCTGATTAGTGGCAACTGGCAGCAGGCTCTCTGCGCAGCTGCTGAGCTTTGTTACACTGAAGAGAAGTTGGCCAGCCTGGCAAGGAGCATGGCAGGTGAGCCTAAATCTGTCTCTGCATTCCAAATTTAGCCATCCCAATGTTTTTAATTGTATTATCTTCTTACAATTTCTTTTCCCTTCCAAAAACATAAACGTGGTGGTTAAAAAGACTGTTCATTCTTATTAGATAGTACAACTGACATCCATGGCTCTTGTCAGAATCATTTAAGAACCAGAGCAGGAAACAAGACAGGCATGTACTCTGAATGCAGCCTAAATTTCAGCTGAGAGGTAGACTAAGAGAGAGGCATGGACCTGCAAGTAGATTAACCCCATCGTTAAGCTTGCAATTAATTCATGAAATTAATTTTGCTTGTATGTTGATCAACTTACAGAAATTCATTCAACCTAGCACTTGAAGAATAAGGAACTCCTACAGATGAAAATATAATTAGAAAAATATTAGACTGCAGAAATGGATAGGTTAACATTAAAGATAAAGGAGAAAGAAGACACAATATTTTTTAACATAGGATTTGTTTTATCAATGCTTAGAATTAGACAATAGAGGTAGAAATTAGACGTTGGAAGATTATTACTAGGTATAAGTGGATAATATTTTTATTACTATTATTATGTAAACTGACCCACTGTTTACTAAGCACTTATGTATGTTAAAGAAAAAAGTATAAATAAAACATACAAAAAAAGAAATTCATTCAAATTGTGACATGGCCAAAGGCATCTTAACAGTCATGCCTTATTTTATTTAGTCATAGATTTATATGGCTGCCCATAGGTTTACATGACTCCTCATCACAAATATATGACTCAGTGCTAACTAACAGTGTTTCAAATGATAAAAGCATATGCAAAAACAAAAATATAAAACACATAGCAGCCGAGTGGATGCCATGACCGAAAAATATCTCTTCCTGGGGAATGACATTCTTTGTCCTCTGCTGCCTTACCAGATAGCGCATGTAGAAGCAGCCAGAAAGAGATAGCCCCTTAAATAACCTGGTCTCAAGCCATGAAGGGCTTTAAAGATGACTACCAGGACCTTGAATTGCACCCAGAATCATACCAGTGGCCATGCAAACAACCTAACAATGGTGTCACATGCTGAAAAACACTAACTGCCTGTGTCAATATTCTACACCTGCTGAGGTTTTTCAATGTATTTCAGTGGCAGCCCTGTGTAGAGTTTGTGGCAGCAGTCCAATCTAGAGATCACTAGAATATGAGTGACCCTGAGTAGCGTCTCCCAGTGGACCCAAGGGGGTCCACTAATGTTCACCTATCATTGAAAGCTACTTTTGTTGGGTCCTTTTCAAACATCAACCTTGCCAGACTTCTGAAGATGTTTTTTAGCACCAGCCAAGTATGATATGGGGCTCAGGTGTTGGGAAAGAATATGCACACTCTCTTCAGCTGATGTAAGCCATCACTACTAAGCCTTAGCAACTCTTTGGACTAGAACTCTCCCTGGAACTGCATAGCTGGGATGGAATGGTACCCTTTCATGTACCTGTTGCCAAAGTTTAAGAATAGGGATAAGTGATTGAGGAGGTACCTTTGATTTGGAGGCTTTTGAAACTTTTACAGACTTGAAATACTATAGAAGCACCACATCTCTGCTTTGATTTTCGGAGTGGGAAAATAGCCTTTTAAAATCTTGAATTTTCTCTCCTGAACACTTTCTTTCAGGAAGACTTTCTGAAAAAAGAAAATATGTCGATGCAGCAGTTCTTCTGGAACAATATGCCAAGGTAGAGTTCCTATTTTACTCCTTTCCATTTGGCCCGTTTCTGATCCACTTTTTCATCTGCAGTTTTCTATCCATCTGTCTCTCTTCACAACACCATCTATATAGCAAACCACGATGATGCCAGAATGATGACATCACTACCCAAGTGCTATCATTCTATACATCTGACATAACTGTACATAAATCATGTAGCATAAGAGCTGAGGTGGCGCAGTAGTTAGAGTGCAGTATTGCAGGCTACTTCAGCTGACTGCTAGCTGCAGTTTGGCAGATCGAAACTCACCAGGCTCAAGGTTGACTCAGCCTTCCATCCTTCTGAGATGGATAAAATGAGAATCCAAATTGTTGGGGGACCATGTTTCTGGACAAGTTTCTTTTTGTGTAGGACACTCATGTCCTCATAAGCCTCCAGTTTTTTCCATGTTGTTACTTCATCTTTCATATCAAAGGATATTTGTTAAGAGAGGAAAGGTAGTATAAACTATTTTTGATGATATATTTGAGAGCAGTTCATCTGTAACTCCCCGTGGTTACATAGCTTCAATTGGATTTTGTATGCTGTGTTCTAGCTATAGCCAAATTTATACACTTCAGAGTGTTGAACCCTGTTGTTTAAGGGCACCAAATATATTATGAAAACCTCTTCGTCCATACCACATCTGTCTACGTGGCAAAGCTATCTGTCTTTCATCAATTCCCTGCAGGTAGAATGACTGACAATATAAGTATTGCTAAAGTATTGCTAGTTGCTATCCTAAAAATGTAACCTACCTAATAAAATTAGCTTGATATCTCTAAGTCCTGAGAAGGATGCCCGATAAGGAAAAAACAAGACCTGGATCAGGCATGCACGGCTAGAAATAGCTTTTAATTCGAGGCATACATCATCTGATGCTCTTGAACAGCATTGCAGCTGAAGTGACATGATAAGATAGAAGCCTTTGGAACATGAGGTTATATCAGTTCTAATTGTTCATTGAAGCAGAACATTACCTGCAATGTAAGTGATAAGGCTAGAGGAGAAAATCACAAAATATGAATATCCACAAATAGAAATAGAACAATTGTGGCAAAATTCATCCCAAATATTTCTTTTCTGCTAAAGGGCTTCAGGAGAGGGAAATATTTGATTAGTTAAAAAATGATAGTAAATGTTTAATTTACCCTTTTCTAGGACTATGAAGAAGCCATCCTGCTTCTTTTAGAAGGAACTGCCTGGGATGAAGCATTGAGAATAGTAAGTCCTGAAACCCCTGAATTTTTTCCATTATCTGTGAGAAAGTGTTTTTTGTTTTGTTTTGTCAAATGGGTTTATTTTTTCCCCCATTTTAGATTTACAAATATAATAGGACCGATATTCTAGAGACCAACTTCAGGCCATCTCTGATGGAAGGTAAGGCTTCCTGAGAGCTGATATGTGCTTGGAGGTGTGAGCTTAATGAGATTCAAATTAGGTGAAGGGGAAAAGAGTTTTGGTTTGAGATAAGGACATATAACGCGATATTGCAAAATTTTGTCTCTGGGCACAAAGAACATCTAACCTTGTTCATTTTCAATATGTCTGTTTCAGTTACATGTGTATAATTTTCCTTTTACTATGATCACCTTTCTAGCTCAAAAAAATCATTTGGTGTTCTTGGAAACACAGAAAGCAGAATTTTCTCACCATCGTAAGCGCCTATCTATAATTCGAGAGCTTAAGCAGCAAGCCCAAAATGAACTACTAGGTAATGTACTTCAATAGAATTATGTTTTGTGACACTAATTCAGAGAAAGCTGCTTATTAGTGCCTTAAGATAAGAGCAGGAATTTCAGTTACTACTTCAACAAAGTAATAGAACTTTACATTTTTGGTTTCTACTAGTTATGACGTGCTACACAAGTGAGATTGTGGGAAGTGGGGAAAACAATGGTAAGATCACTGATTTAAACAATCAGGAGTTCACAGTAAATCAATTGGCAACCGATCTCATAAATGGCAGTTTAGCCTAGATGGAAACAAATCAAGGAAAAGCATTTTGAATCCCTCAAAATAGTCTTTAATTAATTCATTGTAAATGAGGGTAGGACATTCCTTGTACACTTTCCAAGATTCTGTATTTATACCAGATTAGCATTAAAGGTACATTATTGCAATATGTATAGTTCTTACTTTCTTCACCTTGTTTGAAATCATGCTACCTTCGTATTCAAAGGGAGTGCTTTTCTGTCTGCCAGATGCTGAAAACAAAGTATTTGAACCAAAGTTTCCAACTATATCTGCCAGACCTCCAGAGGATAAGATGCTGGACTAGATAGAGCTGATGCATTCATTCAGTCAACCTATTAACTAAGAGATCAAAGTTTAGATTGCAATTCTGAACATTTCACATGATGACTCATTGGTCTGCTCCTACCTTTTTCCTTGGTTTCACCTTCACTGGATACACCTATTGCAGAATGATTCTAAACAGTCCAAAAAGTGCTATTGAAACGAAGTGACAAGAGAGGAATTTATTTAACAGATAAGATGTGAATGTTTCCCCTTTTATTGATAAAAGTAACTAATTTTTGCAGATCATGAAGCATCGAATTGTCCTGAATCGGATCTCTTTTCTGATACCAGCAGTTTGGTGACAGCCAGTGACACAAGTTCCAAATATACTCACAGTAATTCAAGAATATCTGCGTATGTTACTTTGCCTTATCATAGCTTTGGTGTACAATAGTTTGACTGCTGTTCATGTCCCAAGTGGAAAATTTTAGTCTCCAGATTAAGACTGCTTTTCTTAGATCTCCCTGAACTCCACTGGGAGCTCGATCATCAAACAGACTACAAAGCAGCTTCTCTTGGCTCCTTAGAGGCCTGCAACATTAGTCATTCATCATTAATTATTAAAGATTAATTAAAATGTTTTCCCATTTTCACCTCTAAGAAAAATAATTTTAGAATTTTATGTTTGTACGAGTTAGAGAGAGAAAATTTCACATTTTAAAAATAATCTCCTTTAGGAATTCAGTGTAATGTCTTAAAAGAATATGCCATCTATAACCATGAAACCTTGTTGCTGAAACTATTATGAAGCCTGACCGTATATGAAGATGAGTGGGAATGTATGGCTAATGATATGCTTCCAGTTCCCAGATCATGGGTGTACAGAGAGATAACAAAGAGATAGCTATAAAGTAATTCTTTTGCTGATTCTGTTGCTATTCATTGGAACTAGAGGTTACATTTCTCAAAAAAGAGAAGGACATAAAAAGTTTCAGTCTTTGGCAATAATCACAGTTAATAGTGAAACAAGATGGAAAATGGATAAATTGCCCTCCAAACTTTACACTTTACTATCATTGTCCTTGACATGGTAACCAAGGCTCTTTGAATGAGGTGGTTCATATATATGAGAATGTGAACAGGCATTTCTTCAGTTCATTAAAACAACTATTCCTTTGAATGTGAACACACCCACTTCAAATGATATTCTGCTTATCTGCACACTGTAAATCTGTTTCTGTGTGACGGCAGAGGTATTCCATTTGAATCTCCTTTATTGCCCCTCTGTAAAAATCCAGAATCAAAACTTGCTGCACATAGAAAACAAGCATAATAGGAGAAAATAGCCTTTTTCTGAGGTGCACCTTTTCCATTTTCAAGAACAGAAAGGGGTTGCGGGAAGCAGAGCTAATCTAAGGTGGCCATCTTGTCCTATAAATTTCATCTGCAGTCTTGAAATAGTGCAGTCTATATCAGGCTTACTCTCTCACAGGACGAGGCTTCCATCATCCAATTCAAGCCACGTGCAAGTGCAAAAATACTTATCAGATGAAATTTTATAAGCTGTCCTCTCCCATCCCTTTAGTCTCTCTTTTCACTTCTCCACTACCCCCTGGTCAGCCAGCTCATTTTGCAGATGCTCTTTGATCTGTTGTAGACGTTCCTCAAAGAACCGCCGCAAGGCAGAACGCAAGAAACACAGCCTGAAGGAAGGAAGTCCCTTAGAAGACGTTGCACTTCTGGAGGTTTTAGGGGAAATAGTTCGAAGTATTGACAACTTGAAAGGTTAGTTGCAAGAGTTGCTTTTCCAAATTTTGTATGTGGCACAGAAGTATAGCCCTAAAGGAGATCAGCAAAAGATCTGATGGAAAAGCCGGGCCTAATGACCGTGTCTATAGAGATTCCAGATGTTGATCTTCAGTAATCTTGGGGTAACAGGGAGTTGCACAAAAGGCTGCTTCCTTACTAGATGAGCCTAATTACCAAATCCACATATCTAAAACCAAGTTTGTAGATTTGATAACAATTGGTGAATATTTAACTATTGGTGCTAATTTATGTACTTATTTGTTTATTAGACCTTTATCCCGCCTTTATTACTTCATAAGCAACTCAAGGCCAGTGGACATTCCTCCTATTCCTTTCTCCTCCCATTTTTCCCACAACAGCAACCCTTTGATGTGGGTTGAGCTGAGAGAGTGTGAGTGGCCAAAAGACCCCAGATGACTTTCATGCTTAAGCTGGGGCTAGAATTTACAGGAGATGTAAATTACTCTGGCTCTCATTTTCTTCTCCCTTTTAGAGTATTTTGATATGATAGTAATCTTAAGGAATCAGATTAATTTTAAAAAACTGGCTGTAAATGAGCTATTAAAAAAATTACTCAGGAGATGAAACATGATAATTCTCACTCTCATGTCTTTTTATTCCCCTTTCGTTTTCTTACTTGCGCTCATTCCTAAATACAATCAAGCTGTAGTCGCTATTTTGATGGCAGAATAGTATAAGAGTAACAGTGCGCAAGGACGCGATTGGTTCAGAGGTTAAAGACACTGAACTTGTCAGCTGGAAAGCTTGACAGCCTGGGTTTGAGACCCAAGCACCATGCAACAGGGTGAGCTCCCGTTCCTTGCCCCAGATTCTGTCCAGCTAGCAGTTTCAAAGCGTGCAAATGCAAGTAGATAAATAGGTACCATTTCAGAAGGAGGGCAACAGCATTCTGAATGCTTTTGGTATTTGGCATGCTGGTCATGGAAAATGTCTGGACAATACTAGAGATGAGCACTGTGCTCTAGAGTCACACAACTGGACAGGAAAACTTTTATCTTTAAATTGTGTGCATCTGTATGCACCTTCAATTCAGTACTGACTGGCAACTGCCTGAATAAGTCCTTGCAGCTTTCTTGGCAAGATTTTGGAAGTTATATTGTAAAAGAATGACAACTGATTCAGTGGTGGGATTCAAAATTTTTTACTACCGGTTCTGTGGGCTTGGCTTGGTGGGCATGGCAGAGGAAGGTTATTACAAAATCCCCATTCCCTCCCGATCAGCTGGGACTCAGGAGGCAGAGAATAAATGGGGCTGAGGCCAGTCAGAGGTGGTATTTACCGGTTCTCAGAACTACTCAAAATTTCTGCTATCGGTTCTCCAGAACTGGTCAGAACCTGCTGAATACCACCTCTGAACTGATTATAAGTAAGTAACTGATTGTAAGTAACTTTTACACAAGAGGGGGGGAGAGGGAGAGAGAGAGAGAAAGAGAGAGCATAGAATGCTGAAACTGTCTAATTTATTAGCACTGTCAGCCAATATTGTTATTTTTAGAATGTAGGGCGCTTCTAAATACCTTTCCAGAATGTCCCTGGAGAAACCAAGCCCTTCAGCAACCTCCAGGGCTGTTGTTTTGAAATCAGGGAGTTTGAGCTGATAGATACAGTTTATGACTATATTACTGAAAAAGGGGGAGGGGGATTTCATTATTTTCAACTTAGGATCAGAGGGCATGCAAAGAAGAGGTTTATCTTCTCTGTGTACCCCTTTTTTAAAAAAAAATGTGTTTCACTAGAATGGGATCTTTTTCCTCCCCCTCAAGGTGAGATACACAGCCTTTTAAGGCACCTAGTCCTGTATAGCTATGATGAACAAGCCCAGGAATTGCAACAGGCCTTTGAGGATACCCTTCACTTGGTGGAGAGCTCCCTGCTTGAAATCTGGAGCCCAGACTTGCAGCATACCCCAGCCAACTCAGTAAGACATTGATTCCAGCCTGTGCCCCCTTGGCACTCTCACTGGCACACTGTGTTACACTGCTTCCTTTTGAAAAGGCGTTCTTAAGGAGGTCACTTTATTTGAAGAAAAATCCGTTGCGACAGAGATATTCACAAGAGGTGTATGCATGGGGGGGAGGGGGAATCAAGAGGAAGCAAATGACAAAAGCAGCATCAAGTTGCCTGTTTTACTCTTGATATACACTGTGATATTGCATGCATGTTCAAAATGGGGAAAGCTTACGGTACAATTGCATGCCACTTCTTTGGCCTTGGGAAGAAGCTAGATATGGTAGTAGTTTAGGTTCTTACTCTCATTGCATTTTATTTTTTAAAAAAAATCATAGCTGTATCCGACAATGGGTTGCTGTGGGGTTTAAATACTGTGCTGCACAGCTCAATGTATAGCAATTTTATTTACCTAATTTCTTTTAAGAGAATGCCACTTTACTGGTTTGTGTCAAGAAATCTGCTGCCAGGAAGATGATGTATATATGAATGTAGGTAGTCCTTGATCTATGACCATTTGTTTAGCAACCGTTCAAAATTATGATGGTGCTGAACAAATGATGCTTGGAATTCTGCCTGTCCCAGCACCTGTGTCATACAAATGCAATTTGGGCACTTGGCAAACAGTTCACGTTCATGACCAGAAAGTCAATGGGGAAGCTGGCAGGGAAAGTCACCCCAGTCACTAAGTTAAGTCTTCTCCCAGCTCTGCACCCTCCCCTAGCCCCTCTTTGTTCACACCCTGCCAGCCACTCACACACCCTCCCCAAGCCTTCCTCACACTCTTCTGCCCTCCTGTGCCTCCTCAACCCTACTACAGCCTGACCCTCCCTTCTACCCCACGCATTCTCCCTTACCCATGTATCTTCATATTCCCAACCCTCCTTCGTACACTCTCATCCACCTGCACTGCACTTCTCACTCACCCGCCGTGATTTATGCTCTTGCACAACCCCTTGCACCTTCCCTGGTCCTTTCTCACTGAGCTATGCCTTGCACATCCCCTCATCCCTCTTGCGCTTCCCTTGAACCTTTGTGCACCCTCCCTGATCCTCCCCTACACCTCCTCACTTCCTTCCCCACTGACTGGTTGTGAAAAGTCAGCAGGACGTTGCCTCATCTAACAACAATGGGATTTAATTAATGACAGCAATTGTGATGCAGGGATTTTTGTTACTAACAATGCAGTCACACTATATGATTATCACCTAAGCATGGTCCTAATTGCTGTCATGAATCAAGGACTACTTGTAAATTCAAAGCAGGTGCAAGAGAGGGTTGGAAAACAAAATAAAGTTATAATTTTCTTGTTCATTCCATAGGGAAAATAATGGTTTTCTGGTACTGTTATTCTAAATAAATCAACATCTTTTACTAATCCCTTGCAATTTTAGATCCTGGGTCCCAATTCAACTGCTAATAGCATAAGTGCTGCCTATACTCAACAGAAAGTGATGGCTCCTATAATACAAGGTAAGACAGATCGTGTAGTGTACAAGTTAATTACAATTTGAATGTGCGTGCGTATGTATGTACTGTATTTATTTAAATGATTTATTGAGCTTTCTATCTTACAACAGTGACTCTGAACAGCATACAAATGCATTATCATCACCACCTCTTCAAATACTGCTCACCTGTGAGCTGATAATTCTGGCCTTTTGTAATTCTCAGCTGCCAAAAACTGATCAAAAAAATAAAACTCGGCTCCCATTTGCAGCAAAGGTTACTTTATGCAGCATGGAAGGAGAATGTGAACTTTAGAAATTGAGCAATCCCCTTCCTTGCTTACTTATGCTCTTTGCCCAGGGCCTAGCATTTGAGTTTTGAACCCACTCCCTAGATGTAGTTACTCTGAAGCATGCCATTTAGGAAAGCTCAGCATTGAGCTTGCTGTTTTAGGTAGCAAAGAAATAAAATTTTAGTTTATTCTTCATTGATTTCAAGGAGACAAAGCATAGGATTATTGTCACCATGGTAGTTCTTTTTATCTCATTTGTGAGGTTTTATTAATTTTTGTCACTTTTTTATCAATGGTTCCCAGCCTGGAGCCCATGCCTCATGGGGGGGGGTTGATTTTTAATGGGGGCAATTTGAACTTTGTTTAAACCAAATTAATGGTCTTTTAGATTTTCTCTGCGTGAAGAGTTCACTTTTTGAATAAAGTAAGAATTATATGTCACAGGGGGAGCATCAGGATTTTAGAGATGCTTAGGTAAGGCATGGCCAAAAAAAGGTTGGGGATCACTGGTTTATCTAAAGTGTACTGTAATATCTGTTTTGCTTACTTACTTGCTTATCTTGTTTGTAAGATTATCTCTTGCTTTTTCTTTCTCTCAGATCCAGAGATCTTTATTGCCCCCAAACTCAACAAAAACACTCAATGGAAGCTTGCTCTGCTCCAATAAACTCAGTTCCACAACTATTGTCAGGATGAAGATCTCTGTACAGGTAGTCCTCGCTTGCCAACAATTGGGACTAGGAACTCCATCACTAAGCAATGCAGTCACAGGGCATGATGTCATGGGATCATGCCAACTTAGTGACAGCAGTTCTAGTACTCCCGGTCACCATCATTAGACAAATCCTGCAGTCACAGCAGCCCATGGTCATGTGATCGCCGTTTATAACAACTGTTTCCTCATTGACTTTGCCTATCAGAAGCTGGTGGCAAATGTCGCAAATGGTGATCATCCTTCAGTGTCTTAACTGCAAGTTGGTTGCTAAACCTCCAAATTGTAATCACCACAAGGATGCTGTGATGGCCATAACCATGAGGACCAATCATAAGTCCTTGTTCAGCACCGCTGAACAAGTGGTTAGTGAGTGAAGGCTACCTGCACTGAAGTACTGTTTCTCATCATGTATCCTTAAATGAAGGATGAATTGGCTCACAAAACAATGTAATTTCACCTTGTCCCAGTAATGTCTGATCATGGGCTTCCTTCCACTTTTTTCTCCCAACATTGCCTTTAATTGCCAGATAGCAACTCGTCAGCTTCTACTATTGTAAATTGTTTTTAATATGTTGCTTTGAACTCTTCAAACTCTTTTTATTGCAGTTTGATATCTGAAATGTTCTTGGAAATTTTAAAGCAGGGCTACCAGTAGCACTTTAATTTTTTAGGGATTTTTTTTTTTAAGATACACCACTCAGTAACACTGAGCAAGATCTTTATTAATATATTAAGCCCTGTTTTGACAAATTGAATATTGATGGAACATTCTTTTTCTGACAACAAAGGAGAAAGAAGAGAGGAGGGATTAATACAGTTTTATTGTAACTTTTTTCTTTGAATCTCTCACCTTTGATTTTCTACATGATGAAACACCGAGTGTGAAAGTTTCCAGGGACTGAATCAGATACATCAACAGATATGTTTGTGTGTGAATGTTGACCAATGCCTGTTTAGATTTTTAATAAAGGGTGCATATTACAAACAATTGTGGATTGCAATTTCATAAGGGTGTGCAACCTCTAAAGAATATTAACGCATGGTCAACCTGTGTAAGTTTGCCAATGAAAAGCTGACTTCTTTTTTTTATTAAAGAAATCTCAAGAGCTGCTAAAGTTGCTTGGATATAGTTGAAAGCATGTGGTTGGTGCAAGGTTAGCACTGGCTACGTAACAGGTAAGGTTTAAGAATTCTGCAAAAACACAACTGGAGTTCATGCGATATTTTAATATTTTAAGGTGTTCTACTCTTCTTTTTGTTTTTCTTTAAGATAGACACTGATTTTCAGGAATACAGTAAGTGTACAATCCTACCTAATTTATTCAAAAGACAGCTCCATTCAGTTGAACAAAGCTTACTCTGGGATGAATGAATGAATGAATGAGTGCAGTTGCTGGCTGTCAAGCATAGATCATCTAATTGGAAGATTTTCCTTGATGCACTCATCTTCTCCAATTTTTGTCATTACTCCCACAAAAAAAAAGAACACTATATTTTCCTGTTAGAACAGGGAGCTTTTAATACACAGAGAACAGAATGTCATCCAGATCATATAACATTCAGATTGGTATTACAGGGGTAGCAGGGAAAGTGTGTCCTTTTCGTCGACCAAACTTCATCCCGTTCTCCTAGGCAAAGGGATTCACGTTTGGGATTTAGAAACATTTCCGGTAAATGTAAAAAGGACCCTTTTCTTCATATTCTCTTCTATGAACCCAAAGCTGCTGGAAAGCCTTGAGAGATGCAAGAATGGAGCCTCCGGTCCAGACAGATGTTTTCCTTTCCGGAGAAGCTGATGAAATGGGATTATCATTTGGGCACATTCTAATCAGCTCTCTCTGAAAGCGCTCAGCAAAGCCCTTTAGTGTGGTGCAACCCCCACATAACAAGATGTTGCCCATCAGGTTCTTTTTGAGGGTGACATCACACTTGTTGAGGGAAGTCATTGTCAAGAGAGGAAGTCCCAATTGCTGCGAGTTGATCAAGGATGGCTTAAAGAGCATTTCAGCACATAAGAATCTCTCTTTACCAATTATGATAACTTGCCCATCAGGGAGCTGATATTCAATCTCATGTTTCCTGGGAGCTGTGGCTGCATCATGTTGATAATCTAGTGAAGTGAAACAATGGTTCTCTTTGATATCCTCTAAGATATTCCAGTCTTTCTCTGTGAACAATTTTATATTCTCATTTATTAACTTCATTAGGTACTGAGTGACATCATATCCAGCATAGTCTACTCTTTCGGTAATGCTTGGCATGGTGTATCCTTCGTAAATGGGAACTGCATAGGAGACACCATGACCACTCTCCACAACCAGACCTGAGGTCTTTCCGTAGGAATACATTGACAATCTTGACTGGTAAGCAATGTGCATTGCAGGAGTGCAAAACGTTTCAAAGAGCATTTCTGCATATTTTTCTCTGTTGGTAGTAGGGCTTAGAGGAGGATCCGATACTAGGACAGCATGCTCTTCAGGCCGAATCCTCATCTCCCTAAGGAAAAGATATTCCCACATATCTTGAACAGAATCCCAGTCCACTATTATTCCATGTCTTAAAGGATTGACAAGCTTTAAGGGTACTGTAGCTTCCTGAAGTTCTCTTCCAACGAAAGTTTCCTTCCTGTTATCGCCAGTTTTTGCTGTCTCCTGGATATGCTTGCCTACAGTAGATGAAATCACATGGCTTGGCTTTTGTTCTCCAGCAAAACCACATTTGCAGGAGCCAGTACCAATGTCTATGACAACAGCCCTTGTCTCTTTTACTATCCCCCTTGGAGTCCTTTCTCCCTCTTCTCTAAATTTGGTATTGGGCTTGACTGCTGGTCCTTTCTTTGATGGCAGAGAGCCAGAACTTGCACTTCCTCTGCTTGACATTTTATTTCCTGATGCTCATATATGCCTACTCTCCATGTACTGACCACCATTTCAAATGGCAGGAATGGACATGATGCAGAGTCCTGATGATACCAACAGTAAGCATTGTGACATCATAATGGGAATTCTTTCAGCAGTACTTCCAACACATTAGTTTGGAGAAGATTGTCGTCAAGGGCAAGCTGTCTACATTTAATGTTACCTACACTTAAGATTCAGAAAGAGGATTATTTAGGTTACATTTGTACAATATATCTAACCATACATACATTCACAATGTTCTAAACCGGATTCCAAATTTGTGATGCAGTAATTATACAAGTCCAGCATACCAGAGCATATATATGATCTTGGAGAAGAAATGTAGCAGTTAGCCAAATACAAATTTAAAGTCCCGAAAAATAGACAACTCTAGAAAGACATTAAACAGGCTCACTTCGGTATGAGGAAGGGAAAACGCTGTTAGGTTTCCAAAATTCTACTACTATAATGTAAATTACAAATCCAGTACTGTATATCTTGTGGAATCTGCTTCCTGCCCTGGCCTATATTGAAGAACTGATACCTTCTGTTAAGAGCAGCAGACTCTTGTCTTTGATAAAGAGATGTCTTCATCCAACCATCATCTAAGCATTTTGCTGCAGCATTATTCTAACACCAAGTGGACTTACAAAGCAAAATTCCATGATGCATCTAGCACAGCATTTGCAACAAAGCTTGCCTTAACCAATGGCAGTGGCTGGACCTCAACCAGCAGTGACTTGGGAGCTTGCCAGAAATGTTTTGGAAACGCTCAGGGTCAATTCTAACTTTTAGTTTCACATTGAGGTGATTTATGAGTTGGATGACAGAACATCCTACAGATCTCATCAAGATGACTTTTGTTCTGAGTGCTGAAAGAGACAGCCAAATGGAGTATGTCCATTATTGAAAGCAATAATCCAGTATTGGACAATTACCAGAATTTCACACGAAGATTGAGAGCTTCTTTTGATGATTCTGCTAAGAAAGCAACAGGTAATCAACAAAGTTTAAAGATAAAAACAGATCCACATATTTTTGTATCCACATCAAATTTTCAATTATTTACCAGAGATATTGGATGGAATGTTTTCGCTCTCAATCAGTTTTGAGAAGGACTTGCTGATGATCTGAGATGAATTGGTGAAACAAGGCACACCAAAAAATCTGGAAGAGCTGTCCCAACATTAGGTGTTAATAGATGGTCATTTTGAAGAGGTGAGGCACAAGAAAATTGTAAGTCTTGGGGGCAGGGGAGTTCTACAGTTTTCATCTCTAGCTCCCCTGCTTGTGGAATCCCACCTCGAAGGGCTGACACCCTGCCTTACACAATATGTAGTTTCAATTTACTTTCAACTGGGCTTCACAAAGGCTTCTTCTACAATAGCAATGAAGTTGTGGAATTACTGGGAAGATTAATCTGCTAACGTTAAGAACTATTCCGACTAGTTTGTTAATGCTGTTCAAAGGATGAATTGTTGGATCAGTTTCAAAATTCTGTTTATTTTTAATGCTATTTAAATATGTTTTGCTTGCCCCTATGGAAATATCTCAATGTTTTGGGGATGTTTTTTTGCTCATGAAGTCAAATATTTTCTTGGACTGGTATCCCAGAATTTAATAGAAGCATGAATTCCAGAATTTTACCTAAATGTATCTCATTTATGCCTGCTCAGAAATCAACTCAACTGAGTTTAGGAGATTGTCAGATCGCTTCACACAGGATTGCAATCAACAGAGATAAGTAAAATAGACACTGGCCTTGAAAAAAAAACCTCTTATTTAGCTGGATGAAATGGTCTCAGATCCTTTCAGCCTGTGCTACTTAATGGCATTGTGACGCTATAATGGGAGGAGCATGTGGAACAGAAATAGTATCTCCACTACCTTGAGATCATTTGAAAAAATGCAGGATATAGGCAGGAAGTAGAATTTAATAGGCATTGCTTTGCATTGTAGATACATACACTTGATGAAATAAATACAGGAGTTCAAGTGATTTTTAAAAAAATAAGTTTTCAGATTTCATATCGTAATGCCTGTTACACCCACAGCACTCCACTTAGAAACAGTATAGTGATAAAGCTGAAAGTCAAATTGGGAAAGCAGAGAAATGCCTCCAACATAGGGTGGAACATTATCCTAATATCTCAGGCTACAAATCAAATCTTACCATAGTACATTTTAGGTTTATCACCTTTTACCCGTGCCAGTTTTGAAAATGAATGCCAAGGTTCAGCTTGAAATGTAGAATAGTACCCTGAATGTAAGCGCAAAGTTACCTTCCGTCACATCAAAGTTAAAACACATAACAAAAAGATTCATTCAACAGCAGGGCTCATTTTAATTGGCCAATTAGTTATAACAAATTCTTTAGCACGAAAGGCAGAGTGATGTCTTGGGTGAGGGTTCCACTGCAAAAGCACAAATACAACATCATTGTACAAACCTTTTACATCTCCACATCCCTCCTATCCGTAACAGCCACTTCCCTCCACAAATACCATTGGTCACATTAAGGTAGACAATGTTTTGGCACACTTCATAAGGCAATAGCATTAATATTTGCATATGAACATTGGAACTGAGTTTACCCAATATTCAGGAAGCTGTCGTGCATAAATAAAATCAGTCCATGCGTCATTTTGGCCAATGTTCTTTAAGGTGTTCTTTTAACTGAGGGATAGTTGGTAGTTGCTTTTTGCACATGTGGCACTTCAGTGGCAATGTTAGAAGTTGGGTAGCATTCTTATCCACAGTTATTCTTCCTTTCTTTTTTATCACTGCTATCACATCTGAAGAGGAAAAGGGGAGAGGCATAATACGGGGGTCCCCAATCCACAGACCGTATCCATCCTACTCCAAACTTCGTATGAATGGTTTTAGCTACCAATATTCTTCCGTGAACCGGAGGGGGCGTGGTTTTGTGTGCTGCCTGTATTCCAGGGATGGGGCTTTACCCAGCATGCCAAAAACCAGGCAGCGCAAACAAGCAAAGTCCCATCCATGGGATTTAGGCAGCACACAAAACCATGCTTCCTCCGGTCCATGGAAAAATCTCTCTCCACGGAACCAGTCCCTGGTGCCGAAAAGCTTCAGGGCCGCTGGCATAATAGATCTAGGATTATAGCTCCAGTCATATCCATCCCACTCCAAATCCCGTATGAATGGTTTTAGCTACCAATATTTTTCTTACTTAGATCAAACCTTAGAAACTGGGAGGAGAGAATTCATGACATTTGATATAATTTTCAGCAATATCGACAAGCTCACAATCTCAAGGTTCTTTATATTAATGCCAAAATTAGCATCCAGAGAATGGCTGTGTTTCTGGAGAAAACATCCAAAAAATGTTTGGTATGAATGAGTTGTCCAAAAATTGGCTCTGAAAGAATCTTATAAGCCAGTCAAACTAGGCAGCAGCCACACTTGTTTTACTGTGTCTGAGCTTTTCAAATATATATAGAGAAGATATTTGTCCTTACAAGAAGGGAGAGAAGTGGAATTCTCTTTCAATGGCCCTTTTCTCTCATATGGGAAAACCTTTTGCAGGAGAACACTTGCCTTACCTCAATTCTTTTAGTGCTAAAACTAGATGTACTTTACCTGTCTACTTGCTTTCTATGGGACCGGTGCAGGAACTTTATTAAACCAGCAGGGCGGTAGCTATTCAATTACTTTGATCTTAAGTTATAGGAAGAAACCCAAGTCTGAATAGGCATAGAAATTAAAAGAGCCTCTGTTATTACCTGTAGAGTCCAAGAAGTAATTGGTTGTGAAGGAATTCCAATGCTTCTTGGTTTTAAACCACTCAGAATCAAAGTCTTGGCTAATGACATGAAGATGTAGCTGGCTAAAAAAATCAAGGAAAAATGATAACTAGAATTGGTATCACTACAGCAAAAACAATGTGTTGAAGAGCATTTTTACTAACAAAAGATATAGGCCAGAAGGCAGCATTTCTTCTAATGCATGTTTGATAAAAGGTTAGCATACCTTAGTTCTGCCTTACCTCATGCTGGGTATGGCATGGTAGCCTAATCTGAAGTGCAGGCTGTCTTTCTCCGCGCACTGCTGGATTATCATTTCTCCAACCTTGTGCATATGTTGCAACAGTTCAAGATGCTCATGAGTTACTACAAATAAAGTGGAAATAGATTTCCAGGGCAACACTAACCAGTGATAGCGAGCTTTGGGATATTTATCCTTTATAACTACAACTTGCTCATCCTTGTAAACCTAACAGGGAAGAAAATGAATCAGAGTTAACAATGATGTTAATATTCTCATGATTATCCATCTTGAAGCAAAGCAACATGAAAACTTTACCTGCATGTTTGGGTTTTGCATAGAAACCTTCAGACCTTGAGCCCAGTATGGCATACATTCCTAAAGGACAAACAGAAGAATCTAAATTCATTTAGATAGATAGATAGATAGATAGATAGATAGATAGATAGATAGATAGATAGATAGATAGATAGATAGATAGATAGATAGATAGATAGNTAGATAGATAGATAGATAGATAGATAGATAGATAGATAGATAGATAGATAGATAGATAGATAGATAGATAGATAGATAGATGATAGATAGATATAATTAAAACTACAAAATGTATTTAGAAGAGTCCAGTAGGAAAAATGTCCTACTACTACAGTAACCAAGCTTCAGATTGCAATCTTAAATTCAATTTAATTGTGCTTCTGAATAGCTAAAATAATTTTAAGAGGCACTTAAATACTTTTCACAGTATACATAATGCTAAAATGCTTATCACTTTGAGACTGCTCCCAAGAGAAACAAATATAACTCAATAGACAGAATGTACAGTACCTTACTCAAAAATAACCCCCAGGTGGTGACCTAGTTCAAAATGCCAGTCACTCGCACACCTAAGCTCCAAAAGCATTCTCAGTACGTTTTCCTGCTCCCTAGATAATTATGAGTCTTGACTTAACCTCTCTTAATGATGGAATAGCTTTTATCAGCAGAACAAGAGGGAAAGGTTTCCTTCTGCCTACTGCCCTAGTATGTTCTTGTAATTTCCTCTAAAGGGGGCCTAGAATAAATTGGGGAACAGCAGTATCAGGGATTGTATGGCGTCAAAGTCTGTTCTTATTCAAATGTTATGGCTCCTCTCAAAAAAAAAAATATCTGGCAATTATTTGCAGGAGCATTGGGAATTCTCTTAAGAACTCCAGTCCTCATGTAACAGGCGGAGGAATAAGTTGGAAGAGTGAAAGGAAGATTGTTTGCTTGCATTACCAAACCAGAGAGAGGGGTTCATTCTCTGTTTATGTACAGTAATTTGCCCTGTCAATGTTGGTGGGAATGAAGAAAAGCTGAGATTTGGAGGGGGGGGGGGAAGAGACCTTGGTTGAGGTCCTATAGACCAAAGGGTCTCCTTGCCTACCTTCCTGTGTTCAGTTTTGCAACACCAATCGCTCTCATTTCTTTGCTCACCATTTTGGTAGAAGAGCTTTCAAGTGAAGAAACAGAACTGCCATCTGTCACCACGTTATACAAATTGTAGTTTTGCAGTTCCATCTGGTCAGTTTTTATTTGTTTTCCAGAAAAGCTTTCCACATTTTTGTTCTCAGGTTCACTGTGTGGCCTTTTTTCAGCAAGTTCCTTGCTTTCCCGACCAACACATGTGCCCATTTCCTCCAAGAATTGTACAGTGTATGGATACAATTTATTGACAATATGGAGAACCTGTCCTGGCTTCAGTCTTGTTTCTTGATCTTTACCAACATCCACTAGATCAATACTGGTTGGATTGACTCCTATCTTGGGGAAAAAGGCAAAATTACTTATCATGTCAATATTTCCTCTCCCTGAAAGTCAGAATCCCTGAAATATATTGTGAGATCTTATTAAATCAGAGGACCCCAATAACAGGGCCATGAACCAGTACCAGTCCATGCCCTATGAGGGACCAGGCCAAACAAGTGGTGGGTGAATGAGCAAAGTTTATCTGCACATGCATGGGATCCAGGCTGCTCATGAAACCATTCCCCTCCTGTCCATGGAAGACAATTTTTCTTCCCAAACTGATCCCTGGTGCCAGAAAGGTTGGGGACCACTGTATTAAATAATTAAAATAGACCATCTCATTTCCAGAGAAAGGTGGCAGACTGGAGACAGCTCCATAGAAAAATGAATTTTATACAATTCTAATATGAAGTTAAAGAGTGCAACAAAAGCTAGGATATATTAAAGCATCTACCATCCCCAAGTTACCACCAGTTCCCTCAAATTATGTATATATAATCAAATAGTGAAAATCTTGTGATAGGAGTGTTTCATGAGAACTGATAAGTGCAATGAAAAAAGGCTAATTCCTATAATTATTCATATTTTCATTTTTAATTCTTAACTAAGGAAACAAAAGTGGGAAACTTAAGGTGCTATACCGTAAACTATATCTTTGTTTTTGCAAAATGTTATGTTTTATGCAATGTTCCTACCAAAACTGGCTTGATAGCCCTAGGTTAAAGATCATTTAATCTGGATTTATGCACTAAAATACTTAAGAATTAAGAAATATTTGCCAATCCATTTTAAATATACAGGAACAAAACAGTTTATTTTAGACTGATTGCTATCCCATTAACCTGGGAATAAGTCCCACAGAATCAATGAGGATTACTGCTGTGACAATACACATAGGATAGCATTCTAAACCTCCTATAAAGAACAAGGAAATCACAGAAATTCAGTTTTACTTTCTGGATTGGAGCAAATAATTGTGAATGAAGTCTGTTATATATTAAAGAAGACAAGAGGAATGTACTGTAATAGATTTCCACATGGAATGGATCTTAACAGGTGTACCAAAAGAATGACGTTCAATAAAGGTTAAAGTTAATAAAAGTAAACAAAGGAGGTTTCTCGTGATGTACCGTCTTACACAATAGATAATCCACCTGAATCCACAAAAATCAAACCTTAGTTAGAGCAGACAGCTAACTCTCTTGCTTTATTAATCTCGGTGGAAGCAAATTGAGCAAAAGGGAAATCATGCTAGAGTATTCCTATTTTTTAAAAAGAAAAAAAGAAAAAGAAGCCCGGCTTTCATTCTTTTGTGTCTGTGGGTTCAGTTATAGTGTGGGTTCAAATTAGCCTGAATATTCTCCTGGTTTCCCTTTGGAAAATTCTGGGAACTGTAGTTTTATAAAGCATTTCCTGAGCCTTTTATTACAAAACATCAAGCCATGACCCCTATGCACCACCCAGAATCATTTGGTCAAGAATTTTGATAAGCAAACTCATTAGGATTTGACTTAAATGGAATGTACAATTGCCTCAAAACTTACCACAGAAAGCCACCTACCCCTCCCATTTTTAAACAACTTGAAGGATTTCAGCATTTTGTTTGAAGTTGATGTGATGCTGAACTCCCAAAGCAAATAAATTTTGAAGAGGTATAGAATACATAGAATCCTGTTCCTAATAAAGCTGCTTTGCAATAAGACAAATGGAGGATTGTTTTGTTTGGGCTTAGCATGGTTTATAAACCCAGTCACTATGGTTGGCACATTGTGGATTATTATTAAAAGCATTTATTTATTACATTTATAAAATACCAATCATTTTAATTCCTTCGATTTAACATGTAAACCTAACCATTAATAGTTTGTAAAATACATTTTATAGTATAGCATGTTTTATAAACTCAGTGAATATACTGATTCAGTAAGCCTTTCTTAAATCATAGCTTAGCATAAGATGTAATGATTCATAGCAAAGGTTAGTTCTTATAAGGTAGGACTCAACATGACTAGTTATGAACGAAATTTTCTACTTAACAATACAATCATAAAGCAAGATGTCACATGACTGTATCGCTTAGCAACCACAATCCCATCAGTCCTGGTGATGGTGTGAGTTTGACACCCGCATGCTACACTGTGTTTTGGGAGAACATAGTGGATCATGTAAATGTGACTATTCGACAAAAGGAAAAATTTTCAGAGGATAATTTTCTCTTCTTACCTAGTATATGGAATTTGGCAACTGGACATGTTAACCAAGAACCACTGGTCATTAAACAAATACCCAGCACAGCCCAAGCCACCTAAGGTTGGTCACTCCCAGTCCCAAGTCTCAGTAATACAAGGGACAGTCTCCAACCCCCACCCCCTACATCTACCTATCTATCCTTCCCTCTTTCGCTTTCCTGTACCCAGCTTTGTGAGGCAGCATGGCTCAGGGACTGTTTGCCATGCCCTGGAGAATCACAGCCACCTCAGTCCAGTCCCATTCCTTTGTTCAATCCCGCCATAACTTTGCAGCCACTTGAATAAATGGCTGTAAGTTGAGGACTACCTGTAAAGAATTTTGCAATTACTTTTGGTGGGACTGTATTAAGATTTAAATAAAATAGAGCTCTATTATCGGAAAACAATCATATCAGTTAGAAAACTATAGAATGGAATAGATTCAGTCTTTTTTCTCATGCTAAATTGACCTCATGGTGAAATTCAACATTAAAAATTGGGAAAAAGATGGTAATATGGAAAAATTGGATGAAAGCAGGGATATTAACTTTTGGACCAATTAATAGATGATGAAGATGAATTTTTCACACACAGATTAATATTATCTATCAGATGTAACTCAGTAGCAATATTTATGGGTAAAACAGTTGTTAACATCATTATTTGGACTAGCAGGATTTTCAGCTTCTCAGACTACTAGAACAGCTGGTTAATCATTTAAAACTAAAAAAACCTTGCTATTAATTTTTCTAGATATTTGTAATCAATAAATTTGATATGCAGATACTAACTGATGATTGGAATAAAGAATCAGAGGTTCTTATATTATCTAAACAATGAGAGACTGAGGACAGCATGTTGTTGAAGATATAAAGACAATTCTTCTTGTAAACATATTTTTAATAATGTCCTATACTGTGTTTTGAGAGAAAGTAGTGGACCATATAAATGTGACTATGCAACAAAAGTTAAAATTTTCAGAGGGTAATATTTTCTTATTACTTATCTAGTATATAGAATTTGGCAACTAAACATGTAAATGGATTCTCCATGGCTTTACTCTAGCTGAAAGACTGATGTTGCAGCATTGGAATGATAAATGGCCCCCATTTACTCAAAGGTTTGAAGACCTGATTATACTTGCTACTTATGATCAGGTGACATAAAGGCATAGACTTTGTACGGGTAAGTCTAATGAAATATGGGGTTCATTTATATAATATACAGTTGGTTAAAAAGTATGGTAGTTTTATAAGTGTATTAGAAATATATATCTATGTATGTGTGTGTGTGTGTGTATATGTATATATATATATTATTTTTCATATATACATACATACATATACACACACACATTTATATATATATATTCTTAGATTTGTATACATACATACATACATTACTGTACAAAAGTTGTAGGCAGGTGTGAAAAAATGATGTAAACAAAGAATGCTTTCAGAAATATAAATAATGATTGTTTATTTTTATCAATTTTCAAAATGCAGGCAGATATGTATCCATCATGCAATAGCATCAGGGAGGCGTATGATTGGCCCCAAATTTATTCTGCAGCAGGACAACGACCCCAAGCATACAGCCAAAGTCATTAAGAACTATCTTCAGTGTAAAGAACAAGAAGTACTGGAAGTGATGGCATGGCCCCCACAGAGCCTTGATCTCAACATCATCGAGTGTGTCTGGGATTACATGAAGAGACAGAAGGATGTGAGAAAGCCTACATCCACAGAAGATCTGTGGTTCACCAAGATCTTTGGAACTTCCTACCAGTCAAGTTCCTTCAAAAACTGTGTGCAAGTGTACCTATGAGAATTGATGCTGGTTTGAAGGCAAAGAGTGGTCACACCAAATATTGATTTGATTTAGATTTTTCTTTTGTTCGCTCACTTTGCATTTTGAAAATTGACAAAAATAAACAATCATTATTTATATGTCTGAAAGCATTCTTTGTTTATAGCAGTTTTTCCCGCCTGCCTAAAACTTTTGCACAGCACTGTATATATATTGATGTATTTACCTATGTTTATTTCTTTTTCTGTTTTAGTAATTTATTCCATAATGGTGTATGGAAGGAAAAAGCATACCTGTTTAACCTTGACATACCCTTTGTTGTAATCTGCTTTTAGTTGTACTGAAAAAAAAAAGTGACAAAGAATGATATTAGGCTGTGAATTTTATGGAAGTTCTGGGGAAGGGGGAGAAAAGGGGTCAATTCAGAAAAGCAAATGCTTTAACAGTGATGCAATTTAAATTAAACTAGGTGCTAGGAGACAACCAATTTATTCTCATTTTTTTTCTCTTTGGAAATAAATGCAGCCAGAAAATTATGAGCTACGATCATGTGGATTAAAATTGCTACAATTACATGCCATAATAGTTTAATAATACTTCACTTAAGTTTCATACTAGCTCCCTGTTCTAGTTAATCTCTGGGTTTCAGTAGTTATACGCAAGGGAAAAATATTTTTTTTCTTTTTCAGATTAGGTTATACATATTTGCACTAGAGCTCTCCATATGCCCACACACCACACTGTATATCAGTGTTCTAGACATGGACAGAAAATGTCAGGGTACTCCTCATTCAGTCCATTCCAGGACTATCTAAGCAGCATATGTGGCTGAGTTTACCTGAAGTCACTATTATTTTCTAAAAGGGCAGATTCATTGCAGGGTTTAAAAATTGTATTAAACTTTCTTATATTGTTCCATCTTCTATAGTTACTTCTACCCATCAACTGCAAATTGCAAATATAAAAGCATAACCTTACTTCCATCCATAAAATGTTGGGTAGTACGGGTAGTTCTCATTTAGCATTAAATATTAGCATTAACAATAAGTAACTTTGCAACCAATCCTCACATTTACCATGTCTATAAAGCAAAGAAAAGCTGAAGTGAGATCATAAGCATAGTTGCAGTTTTACTTAGCAACCGTTTGGTTTAAGAACCAAGGTGAGAATTGTGGTCACTAAATGAGAACTATCTTTACAACAAAACATTACTTAGTTATAAAATGTTGATTGAAAATATGTTACATATATTATCTTGTAATCCTATTGGGGACACCTGTTTTACTGCTTTCCTGTGCAGTTCATTTCTAGAGTCTTTCGGAGTAGATGGTCATAATAAAATCCAATTAATAAAAATAACCTGAGAAAATGAAAATAGACATCCTTGAGAGTAGAAATTAAATTCAAACCAGTCTTCCTAGCTCAACTTCTTAGCTTCATAGTTACTGCTCATCATGCCACATATTTTGACTCTTTATCTGGCACCAGATATTTATGTCATTAGGCATAATAAAAAAGAGGCAAAAGTAAAAGTAGAAGTAAAAACTACTGAGTTTACTAAGATTTACTCCCTAGCATATTTAAGGCTGCTATTTTAATCTTAATTTACCTTGTTTTCGTGAGCACTTCTTGTCTGTTATCTCCGTGTCAGGCCCACGCCCTATCACCACCATTTCTAAATGCGGTAGTTTAATTCGCTGACAGCTTCTATCTTTGCTCACTAGCCAGCATACACGCATTGTGCTCAGGGAGGGAGGGGGAAAAAAGAAATATTCAGTTTTATCAAATAAGGTTCAGCTAGGGATTATGATCTACAGGTGCTATAAAAGTATTTTATTTCAAAACACTCGCTAGAGGTTTTTATCTACTGTTTAAAATTTACTCTATCCATCTACAAAGGGAAGAGCACAAAAATCTACAAGACTTTGAATAGTTTATTATCCAAAATGTTGAGATGCCAAATAGATTTTCATTTATTTTGTTATAAAATGCATAGATTTGACAAAATAACCTATTAAACAATTTACATTATGCTACCTTTATACTTATGCATATTTATAATTATATTAAACTTAAAATAGATTAATTAAATTATAAAGCATTCCAATTAAAGAAATTGTTCTGTAACTTATATGCAATGTCATTTTTAAAAACTATACTTTAATATTGAGCCACAGAATAATTTCATTCACTCTAAAACTTTACAGTACATTTATAAAGTGTCATTTTTTAAAGTCTAATAGTTTTTAACTAACACATTTAACTAAAAGTTTATAAATTAATGTAGACCAAAAGCACCAATTCATACTTGGCATAGCTTTTTTCTTCTTCCAGGAGAAAAAAAACAGAATTTGCTTATTTGAAATAAATATTCTAGCACATCAGATTTTTTTCAGCTGATGGAGTACAGTGCTAAATCTTTTACCATTGGCCAAAGGGCAACATTAAGTAGTGATGGGTGAACTAGCTGAAAGCAATGTGCCTATGAAATGAAGGTTTTCTTTCAATGAAGCTGTTGTTGAGCGTATCTATGGTAGAATCCAAGGAACGAAATTATTTTTGCAGACCAAAACAGTGGAAATCATCCTATTTTTAACTTCTAGAATACTCCAAGAGACTGCTTACTTAATTTCTAAATTGGAAAAAAACAGAGCTAACTCTATTTTGTTTCATAAAAAATTCAGAAAACAATTTTGAATTTGTTTGGAGAAAGTTTGCAGAACCTTAGACTTTGAACAATTATAAACAGAAAATTCACTGCCCTTCCTTTTACTCCATAAAATAACTATTTACTTTGTACTTCTTACTACCTGTAACAGAGAAACTAAGAAAAGGGTGCAGTTTCATTATTAAGTTTTTCTTTGAATTCAGAAGGTGGTTTTTGAATGGATTCTGTATCTGGAAGCAGGAGTGTTCAGCACTTTTCAGGATACAGAAACTATTTTACAATGGAAATGGAAGCGGTTAACTCCCTCTTTTTCCATCATATTGCAAATATGACAAATGAGAACTATGTTGGAAAGCAATTGTTCATGGATATATGGATCCAAAGTTTGGCTCTGCGCTGTATTTTATTCAGGCTATGATACATATAACCAACATCCAGATTTAATGCATGTTTATTTTTAAAAATCCAATTAAGTAACTTCAGCATGTAATGGACTGCGAGTGAAACAACAGAACCACCTGACACAATTTAGGTAGCTTTTGAGAGTCAATGACTGTATGAATATACGAGTTCCTTCGAGGAAAATGTTGTAACAGAAACATTTCTTCCAAACAATCTCTCTTACGCCATCTCACTGTACAATTTTTCCTTGCTTTTTTAAAAGACCATCTAAAGACCCACGTACCCCATCCGATTTCGTCTCTCCTAACAATTTTCGATGGGTTATTCACCCCCCACACCAAAATACCAGAAGCTTCTCACGGGGAACCGCCTCCTTTCATCTACACACTCCCTCGCATTTCCACTCACCTCCACGTTGCCATCTCTGCACCTTGCTACATGTCCTAACCAATAGCGTTCCTCTGGACCGCTTCGAGCCCAATCAAATACCAGTTTCTGACGCCTTATTCCCACCCCCTAAGAGGAAGGAAGTAAATACCCAGCCAAGTTTCTCGACCTTTCTTTCCCGCAGTGAAGATAGGAAGGGAAAAAACCTTTGGTCTTGAGATGTATGTTTACAAGGATTCTTGTTCGGATTTTTTCTTATTTATTTAACCAATAAAAAAAGCTATGCCGATCCATTAAAACAAAACTCATTGCCAGTTAGTATTGATATTAAAGCCATTCAAAATCTCACCAAATATTAAGCAAGCTCTTCAATTCTCCAACTTTTTATCGGCTGGATGTTAAATTAAAGCAGAAAAGGTAGAAACTACTTTGAGAATCCCACCATGTTTTGCTGACATTTTTATGTCAACAAAAATGTCATTTTGCTGACAAAAATGAAATGCAGCCAATATGTATTTTTTAAAAAAATCCTATGCTGAATATTAATACCAGAATTCAAAATTTAATAGAACTATAGGTGCATGTAGGATCTCAGTTTTTATGTGTTTTTTCGAGATGTCCCTGCTGTTTCTAAAATTCAGAAACAACTTTTTAAAGAACAGATGAAAAAGGCACACACAAATTTAAATGCCCCATCCTAAACCATTAATTTGTTTTACATGATGTCACATTAGTTTCTTATACCAGGAAGAGCTAAATATCCTAAACACTGAAATTGTAATTTTAAAATTGGTATGAATACATATTTTAAAAATCCTAATGAGTTTTGGATGCAAACACATTAATCCAGATTTAAAGTACAACCGAAACCAGAGACATTTTTGGGATGACCAAGGGCCAGATAAGAAAAAAGTCATGCAACTTCTTATATATAACTGCAGATCAAAAGAAGAAAGGTTCAATACCACCCCCAATGGTAGTTGGTGAAAATGATGGAATTTGCAAAGATGGCTTTTATTTATTTATTTATACTATTTGTAAGCCACCTTATTAGTGGGACGGTGGGGAATATAAATTTAATAAATAAATAAAGCAAGCTTTTTCTACGCAGTGCTTAAGAGTGGGATATTATATTGTCGCTTACTTTATCATATCCCTCACACTAGACGATTCGGGTTGCCCTAATCCTGGCCTCAAATAGCTGCGCAGAACCGCTCAGTTCTACGGGGCTTCGAAAGGTCGGATGCGCCCACCCCTGCCGCTTTGCATTCTGGTCCTTGTAGTTTGCCCTTGTTGAGCCGCATCGAAAAAATGGCGGCGGCCCGAGCACGTTGCCTATCTTGCCGTGATGGGAGTTGTAGTTCCCGGCGGTAATATAATCCTCTCGACAAGTGATTGGAAGACGGCTTGTTTTTCGTCATCGCTTCTAGAAAGCCGACGAATGCCAGCCATCGATGGTACCAGCAGAGAAGGCGGTGTTTCCGGGATTGGGTGGGGCTTCCTTGAAAAAAGAAAACTCCCCGGATGCTGCCTAGCCTGAGACCGGCTCGGAACTTTCCAGAAAAGTCGCGGTCGTTTTGTCTGTGGGAGAGAAAGAGGCAGGAGAAGGTGGCACTCGGCGGCAGGAGCGGGTAGACTTACGGGGAAGACGTCAGGCTGCCTTTTTTTTGGCCGAAAGCGCGAGGTGGGTGGAAGACAAAGGGAAGCTGTTGGCCGCGCCTTCTTTCTCCCCCCCGCTTTCTCCCCTCCTCGTCGTGCGAGGAACGGCCGCCTGGGCAGCTTCGTCCGCGCGCCTGGGAAGCCGAGGTGCGGCGCGCGAGCCGAAACCGTGCTCTTGAGGGGAAGGGGGTGGGGGACCCGAGCGAGATGGGTAAAGGAGGCACGAGGACGGAAGGGGTGGGGGTGGTCGGTGGGGGGACTGGGGAAAAGCCTGCGAGAAAGAAGCCTTTGGGGAACCGGGCAGGAGGGTTTGGTGCCCGTTGTCCGTGAGACGAGGAAGGGCGACCATGAAGAAGCATCCTTTCTGGGTGTCCTGTTTGGGAGAAGGCGGGGGGGGGCATGGGGTGCGGGGGGGGGGAGAGTAAGCCCTTTTTCAGGTGAGTGACCTTCATCTACTCGGGAACAGGCAGGTGTGCGACTGAAGCAGCGGAACTTCATTCAGGCAATTAAAACGAAGGTGGCCGAGTCAAGCGGGAGGAACAAGAAAAGGTTCTTTTGTGACCGAGTTAGTACCTGTTTGTATAGCCATTTAGGCTGTGGGAGGCTAGTGCGGGGAGGTGTATGAAAGATGGGGAAGGATTGTTTCTGTTGAGGATAAAAGAGGTAGAAGGGAAGGGAAATAGGAAAGTGTGGGAGAGTCTCAACAGCTGTTTTTACTCCCTTTCTTTAAACTGGTGTAGTCTTACTGTTATTCTCTTCCCCTCCATGTTCTCATGCAGGTAGGGTTGCATCATGGTGAAGGAGACCACATACTACGATGTGCTTGGGGTAAAACCTAATGCCTCTCAGGAGGAGTTGAAAAAGGCTTATAGGAAGTTAGCATTGAAGTATCACCCAGATAAGAATCCTAATGAAGGTGAAAAGGTGAGTTAATGCGTGTGGTTTTTTAAAAAAAATCTTTCTCTTCTCACTTTCTGCTAGTATGTGGCAGGTACTCTGCACCCATTTCATTTTACTCGGTACCCATCCATTTCTTGGTATGATGTGTTGGATCTTGGTTGTTGAGCCCATATGCATACTTATCTTCATGACATAATATTTCTCCAGGTCCTCAATGTTTCCATGTTCTATTTTGCTTCACTGTTGCTTGCCTTTGAACATTTTTGTTTCTTGTCCTGCAGATGTCTCTTATTGAAAATGCAACTTGGTTTTTACAGTAAAGTGTCTTTCTTTTTGAGAAGGTTTGAAAAACTTACATAAAATTCTCTCTCCATGTCATTTCCTAGTGATCTTTAGTAAAAGTTTTCATGATGAGCTTGACTCCTGGTGACTTATGTGGACATATCCACATGCAAATCAGCATGTTTTTTACTTCCCAGTCTGTCTTACAATCACTGCCTGTTGGAAAGCTTGCAGCCTAGCTCTTGTGGCAGCACCTAGTCATTGTTAGCTGTTTTTGAAAAGTAGCAGACTAGACTAGACTTGGATATAGAAGAAAAATATTCAGCAGAAAAAATAACAAATCACTTTATCACTATATCAAAAAAAAACCCAACAATCATTCAGTGGACTTAAAGGTTTACAATTAGGAAGGTTAAAATTTAGATTTGGATTCTTCTGCTGAAATAAAACATTATTTAGAGAACTCTACTTTTTAATAAAATGAGAAAATTCAATCCATAAAGTGGACCAATCATTGGTAATTATTGTATGTTACTAATAATAGTATGTAAATGTAGTAGACTGATCATGGTATAAATAATATCATTTGGCAACAATTACATAAATAGACTAAGCCTTTTGATTTATTTTTTTAAATGTAGTTCAAACAAATTTCCCAAGCCTATGAAGTCCTGTCTGATTCCAAGAAAAGAGAGTTGTATGATAAAGGTGGTGAACAAGCAATAAAAGAAGGTGGTAGTGGAAGCGGTTTTGGATCACCAATGGATATATTTGATATGTTCTTTGGAGGAAGTGGAAGAATGCAAAGGGAGAGGAGAGGTAATGTACAATTTTGTTTCATCTAATGGACATTTTAGTGGTTAACTTTTTATTAGTTTAAAGAGGGGTGGTTCCCTGCAGACATTATAAAGATAAAGGTGATGATGTAGTTTTCAAGGTGAACAGGTAAAGATATCTTTTAATTTCAGAATTTTTATGTAATGTAAAACCATTTGTTTCTTTCTAATGATTGCTGTGGGAGCTGTCATATAATGGAATGTCCACTAAAGCATCTATTAGCATTATTTGAATAGTACCTCAAAGTCCGTTTGCTCTTATTGCTGTTAATATTAGCTGCACAAATTATACAATAGTCCAAATGTTTTCAACATAATTTAAACTGCGCATGAAATGGCCTTTGTGACTCTTTACTTAGAAATGCCCCATTGGATCCAGCCAAGTTTAATTTCCATTGTAATAAATGTGACTTTTCCCCAAAAAAAGTTCTCAGCCATGAACTGAATTAATTCTTAATAACATGCTTTTCATTTCAGGTAAAAACGTTGTTCATCAGTTATCAGTAACTTTAGAAGACTTGTACAATGGAGCAACCCGGAAACTTGCTCTGCAGAAAAATGTGATTTGTGACAAATGTGAAGGTAGGCTAAAACATTAATTTTTTAGACGTTTAGGAGAAATTTTAATGTAAAAAGATGGAGTCTATTTAATCTTAATTTTTTTCATGTTTTCTAGGACGAGGGGGCAAGAAGGGTGCAGTAGAATGTTGCCTTAATTGCAGAGGAACAGGCATGCAAATAAGAATTCATCAGATAGGACCCGGAATGGTTCAGCAAATCCAGTCTGTGTGCATGGACTGCCAAGGCCATGGGGAGCGCATCAGTCCCAAGGACAGGTGTAAAAGCTGCAATGGAAGGAAAATTGTTAGAGAAAAGAAAATTCTGGAAGTCCACATTGATAAAGGTATACTAAATGAGAAATTAGGAGTTGTGGAATATTAAAAGTCCTAGAAAAGATTTACATATTAATTTAGAAAGGGATGATAAATTACATTTGGGTTATCTGTGCCATGAGATAGTTCTATAGCAGTGATGGTGAACTTTTTCGGCACCAAGTGCCCAATCAGGAATGCATATGCCGGAAACCTGAAGACCAGCTGGCGATGTGCCTACAGGGAGGGCTCTGAGTGCCATAAGTTCACCATCACGGTTCGATAGAATATAGTTCTCCCACCCCCTGACTTTCTAGGCATTAAACACCAATACCTCTGTCAAGATATGGTGCTTTCATAAGATAGTAGAACTTCCATAATTTTTGTATGAATTGCAGGTGTTTAATGGCTCCCAGTAAGAATTGAGGGATGCTGTGTGGGTGACAAACTGTCTGCTAGAACAGTTGACATCAGATGGCTTTGCAAAACTAGTATTTGGATAAAAATAATTTTGACTTAAGGGCTGAAATAAACACAAAAGGAAAACACTAAACATGTTCAAATTAAATTATTACAAGAAGTGTACATCACAATATTTAAAAAATTTAAACAGGTTACCTGTACATTCCATAATACAGAACTAGAAATTTTGGCAGAAGAAAATGAGTAAGGAATGACTATTGAGACTGTCTTTTCACTAGCTGTTAATAGGGATACGCTTTCTGCTCCTGTTTCATGCTTCTACTTGCAGTGAAGAATGCTGAATTTATTAGAACAATAATTTAAAATATATTGTGTAGGTTTTAAGTCTAATCTGTTCCTTTTGAAATAGGAATGAAAGATGGTCAGAAAATAACTTTTCATGGTGAAGGTGATCAAGAACCAGGTTTGGAGCCAGGAGACATTATCATTGTCTTGGATCAAAAAGATCATTCTATATTTACAAGGCAAGTTTTAATAATACTGTGGAAAACCTATTTGGGTAGTATGTATAACAGTTTGGGAACATAGGTTGTCAGGCATTAGGGTTTCTTTTTAGAAGACACTGATTGGAGCAGGTTTTAAATTTTGTAGTTAGAATAGGATGGTCAGGGTAACGATTGCACAGTTTATCTTAACTTTCTGCAGGGTTAGTTATTTCTCAGTTTTAAGACGTTTGTTCAGTCTAATGATGATGCAAAGGCATTAAACTGGTTTTCCTTCTCAGGAAGTTGACCTTTGGATATTAAGTAAAAATGTTACATTGATTATAAGGCTTGAAAGTAATCTTTTTTCTAGTTTAAATGCTGAAACAATTTTTTATGTTTGGATGTAAATAGTATGTTTTTGATTGCTGTACAATAGCAAGGAAAATCAGTTTAGTTTTTTCTCATGAAATTGTAACTGGTTTTTTTATTTAGATAATTAAACATGGAATGTTATTAAGTTTCAAAATATTCCTTGATCTATTATGGGGGTCCTCATCCTTTTTGAGCAGGAGAAATTTTGAAAACATGATAGCAGCCCTGTGGCTGCTGGATGGCGGAAATTGCCGTTTCACAAAATGGCTGCCATGGGAAAGTTATAGAGAGCCAGTTTATCAGAATGCTATGTGTTGTGCTGGTTAAGTATTTAATGTTTCCTGCTATCGTGCTAATCTTTGGGATTTGGGGGAACAAACAAAAATTCCCTTCCTCCCAAAAGTATTTGCCTACAGCCCATGCATTGTATTTTTCAATAAATGCTATAGAGTCCATTTAGGATCCAGGTGCATTATTGCAAATAAAGATAATGCTGGAAGATTCCACTTTAAATCTCAGCATGCCAACATCACTTTAGAAAATTTAAGAAACATATAAAGGAACCCCCACCCTAGATGTCTCTATGTTCTATGGCATGCTGGGGACCACTGGTCTGCTATATTATATATAGCATAATATTTAAAAATATTAAGATAAAACCTTATTTTTTATTTTCCCATATATTCAGATCTGGTGCTAGAATAATTTTATTTCATTAACAAATCCTTTTAATTTTGTAGGAATGCAGATCTCTTTATATTCTCCCTGTACATTTATTTAATAGTACAATTTACCATTTTAAGCAATTAGTTTTTTTACTTGTCTTTTTGGAATTGATATCCTATATAATATGGTTATAGCCCTGCAATTCTAAGGCATATAACTTTTTTTTCTGCAGGCGAGGTGAAGACCTGGTCATGTCTATGGTTATACAATTAGTGGAAGCACTCTGTGGCTTTCAAAAACCAATTGCAATGCTAGATAATCGAACTATAATAATTACTTCTCATCCTGGTAAGTCTATGTTGCTCTGAAAAAAAGAACTTGGGTATAATAAGTTTAAATTTAAAGGACCATAGTTTAATGGACTTTGAATGTAAATCTGTCTATATTACTTTATGTGTAGAGTCTTATTTATCAATTTATGATCTGTAAACTTCCTCTTCAGTTAAATGAACATTCTATTTTAACTGACAACTGTTCCCTACTATTAGTCTGTTAAAAGTTTGCAATTATACTGGACTCACTATTAATTGGAACCCACTATAAAATAAATGTTATCCTTTTGAAAAATCCAAGTAAAATTCTACAAAGTTCTTAAGCAACTATAACTCTTAAAAGCAATTTAATTACAGTATTAATTTATCAAATTCATTGCCTTTGATTGACAGGAATGGCACAATCATTTGTAACTGATGAATTAGAAATCATCTAAACATATCTTGGAAAACCTTTTTTTACCATGATACTGCACTTTAGGAATATGCCATGTTTGGATTCAGTTACAAAATATTTCTAGCACTTTGATCTTTTCCCAGAATCAGGTTATTACCCTCTGTGGATGCCTTGTTCACATGCCTAGTTTGCTGTCAGGATGAGTTTCTGCTTGAGCAATTACAAGTACTTGTAAATTTAATTTTATATAAAGTTTGTTAAACATAAGTTATATCTCTTTAATTTCTAGGTCAGATTGTCAAACATGGTGATGTTAAGTGTGTACTAAATGAAGGAATGCCAATCTACCGTAGGCCATATGAAAAGGGTCGTCTTATAATTGAATTTAAGGTAAGTGACGGTTGAATTACTAATTAAATATCTCATGGAAAATTTCTTCAATATATTTTAGGCAATGCCTTATAATGCTGATTGCTTAAATTTGGTGTTAGTTATACAAATTAAGCAAATGTATCTTTTACATTAACATTCAGACACTTATTTCATAGTTAAAAGTACATTTATGAGAAGCATTCATATTTTTTTTTCTGATTTTCAGGTTCTATTTCCAGAAAGTGGTTTCCTTTGCTCAGATAAGCTATGTCTGTTGGAAAAACTGCTACCGCCAAGGCAAGAAGTGGAAGAAACTGAAGACATGGATCAAGTAGAGTTGGTAGACTTTGACCCATCTCAGGAAAGAAGGCAGCATTACAATGGTGAAGCATATGAAGATGATGAGCACCACCCTAGAGGTGGTGTCCAATGCCAGACTTCTTAAAATGGTCTCACAGTTACACTTGTGCTGCTTGTCCTGTATGTCAGTTGTGGATGAGTGAAGGACTGAAGTTGCTATATTCAGAATTGCTATTGTCTCTGTAATATTTAAACTTAGTTGTTTTTAAATCAAGTTAACAAATTGAAATCGGTAAAACTACTTGGATCAAGTTGGAATGTTCATATTTCTATAGCGGCTCCTAAGGAAACCTGAAGCCACTTTACTCTGGCTTGTTTTATTTTGTGCATCATAAGTGTGTTGTGTGCAAATGCACTGGCTTAGTATTCAGTGATTTCTGTTTAGTATTATAAATTATATTCCCTCTTATGTATGCATCTGTATTTATGATACATATTAAAGATGTGAAATTAAATTTTGGTATTCATCTAGATACATTGATGTGTTTTGGATATGCTATGGCTGGTTGAGACTTTGCACAGCACTTGTATGAGACTCTACTTATTTTCTATTCTGGAATGTTAACACCCTTCATTCTATACTGAGCTTTAGTTAGAATGTTGTATATAACTCATTGATGTTAGACAGGATCCTGACATGGTTCTTGGGTAGGAGTAAAAAAATCAACAAACGTCTAAGTGTAAATGGGACAAAAGCTGAAATCTTAAAAAGGATTCTGAATAACAGTACATAATTTTTATAGAGGTAATCCTGTAATTAAAAATATGCCTAAGAATAATGGTATAAAACTACATGCATTTTGAGTTTCATGTCACTAACACTTAAATTCGATGCTGCATGAATACTAGCAACCAAAAAAAACCCATTAGTGCTAAATGACTCCTTAATGAACTGTTCACAGTCCATAAGGTTTTTGTGTGTAGTTTCTGAAAAAGGCTACCTTTTAATGGCTATTTCAAAATATCAATAAAAGTAACCTAGTATAGATTCATCCAAAATAATTAGGCATTGCATTATAACGGGGGGGGGGGGGGGTTAGCAGAGAATTCAAATACATCTTTTAAATACTAAATCTAAGACCATTTCTGAAAACTAAGTTGCTAACATTGTCATTTATGATAAGCCCTAAATTTACGTAATTGCTATATGTATATATCTGTATATGGGCAAATAGGATAGCATAAAATAGCATTTCAGTTCCATATGTAATTTTAAAATAAATCTCACCATTAAAATCTTAAATTGGCAAAAAAATAGCTTAAATCCTTGGCAGGGATTTAAGTTGTACAGCAAATTATTTTAATCCTTGTGATAAGGATGAGTTACAATGGAATTATGTGTCTTTAAAATGCTTGATTATTGTACTTTACATTCAGTTTGTACCTGTAGGGGGAAATAAAACTATCTAACAGCTTCATCTCTTCTTCCTTTTTGGCCTATATAACCATCCATTCCAAATATACATTTGTCAAGAAAATGTCCTAAAAAAACCCTTGGTTTAGTTTGGCGTGTTGCTAAATGGGGTGATCCTGAGGCTCATACACTTTGGTATCCACCTTTATCCCACTGAAGCCAGTTACAAGAAATAAGTTTGAAAGCATGTAAAATGCAAGTAGAAAAAATAGGAAACACCTTTGGTGGGAAGGTAACAGCGTTCTGTGCGCCTTCAGTGTTTAGTCATGCTGGCCACATGGAGACCATGGAGACTTCTTTGGACAGCGCTGGCTCTTCAGCTTTGAAATAGAGATGAGCACCACTCCTAGAGTCAGGAACGACTAGCACAGTGAGGTGAACCTTTACCTACACACACACATTCACATTTTAGGTAGTGAGGGTTGTAGAGGGTTTTTTCAGTTAAGAAATGATCAGTGTTTGAGGAGAATTGAAATGGGAGCAAGCTTTTGTCATTCCTATAATAAATTCCCCCTAAACTCAGAAAATTTTCCCCAAACTGGGCTTTTGTAAAGGATATTAGATTACAACATGAAAAAGGAAAAGTCTGGGGCACATAGTGTTACCATTCCTTAAACACTCAGCCACTGGAAAAGCTGTCCTAGATCATGCCACCAAATACAACACATACTATAGTTATTTCTTTAGCATGAGCTCTCCCTCCATCTCTCCTGATTGGCTGGATGAATTACCATAGCTTGCAAAAAGCATGATTAGGGTATAGTCATAGTTAAGGAATTAGACATCAGGGTCAATCTATCCACAGCCTATTCTAGAATATTAAAAAAGACGAGATTTCCTTGATGCCAATGAATATAGGAAAGATGGATATACATTTAATAGTACTAATTTTCAGATGCAACTCAATAAGCAACCATTTCTTCACCAGTCAAGAAAGCATACTTTCTTTACAGAGATGATAAATTTCAAGTTTGGTCTTATTTTAAAAGAAAAGTTTAAAAAATTCTAAGTCAGATGCCTCTTTAAGAAATGTTTTATTGTAGAACAGACAGGTGCTTTTTTTAAAAAAGGAGCTACAAAAAAATCTGCACAAATTTAGAAACAAAATGTCCATTTTGAACAGCAAAATTACAATTCTTCAAGGGAAAAAATATTTTCTAAAAATAAGATGAAGCTTGCAACATAAACTCAGTATAGTTCAGAACATCAAAAAGTCTACAAAACAATAGCAATTAGTTTCTATCCTATTCAAGACTATATATTCTAAATAGGAGAGGGAAATTAATATTTAACCAGAGCAGGAACTCCTAGCCCCTCTTAAGACCTCTTGTTATTAAGTGGTACATTTACCTTAATAACAAGAGGTCTCACTGAGCCAAATAACAATATGCAAGATTGTAACTTTCAACAGACAATGTTTAAATATGTGCTTTATAGTTCCATAAATACTGCCAAAATTTTAACATGCCATTTTAAATGGTAAAACTGCATGTACTTGCTCTTCATTTTTCCCTTAACTAAGAGTTAATCTCATTTTATATATTTTAAATCCAAAAATATGTAGAAGTAATGCCATTCACGTAAGAAGCAGAAATGAAACTTATGAAAACATTTATAGAAATTGAACTGATTTTTCAATTTGCATACACAACTAGCGTTATATATAGCTAAAGGTTCCTCTTGAGACAGCTGAATATGAAATTCAGTATAAATTAAAACAAGCCTTTTAAAAATATTTTTGGAAACATATCCCCTGCACATGGTACACACTTCCCAGGAGTTTCAGTAGCCATATGCTGAAGGAATTTATGCAGTTCTATGGTTTCCACAGCTTCAACAGCCCATCTTCACTATAGGTAGCAATCAAATTCTGATGGGGATGGTGAGCAATACCAATGACATCCTTTTCATGAACCTTAACATCAGAAAGAAAGAAGAAACATGAGTATCTCCAGAGATAAGATCAGATGAGGTATTTTCTATACATACCTTTCTCTATCCTAAAAGATTTTTTTTAAATAAAATAATCAAGAAAAATAAGTGTTTTCTGAAAGAATGGATTCTGAAACTAGTAGAACTAGCTGAGAGCAAAATGTCCTGCTTTAATAATAAACAGCAACCTGACTACTTGTTTCTTGTGGCTTGGATATCCCTATTAGATTTCCTACAGGAAACGAAGAAAAATTAAATGTTGACATTGGGATTGAGGATTACATCTAATTTGATTAGAGAAACATTGGGGGTTTGTTAAATGCATGGTTTATGGTTTACTTGCAGTGAGGTGATTGTATGTTGAATTAAAGTTGAACTAAGTCCTGAGCGAGCAAGACTATAGTCCTAAGTACTATATAAGTCCTGAAGCCACAAAACAGGCTTCCAGACACTCCCTATATCTGAAGACTTCAAATGTCAGCCATGTTAGCAGGCCAAAAGAATCTGAAGTTGAAGTCTATACAACTGGTAGATATTTGGGTTTGGGAAAAAGTGGCATGGCAGTCAGGAAACAGGGCAGAAAGTTTTGTAATCTTCACCAGTGATTTTCTGAGAAGGAAACCTGCTCTGCCAAGTAATTTTGTTAAGTGTAAACTGGGGAAATATTAGATTTGGTGAAAAAGTCCATGGGGCCAGGGAGCCAAATCTGGTCCCTACTGCATATGGAACTGCTGCTAGGTTGCCACCAAGATGCCCTCTGCTACCCACCGTCAGTGTTCTCTCCAGTTTGCCAGTCACTGTGCTGAAACAGTAGAGGACAAAATCTTCACCCACACAATAGATCCACTCGCCTCGAGGAGAAAGGGCACAGCAGACGAAGTCACCACCTTCTCTCTTACCAGAGCTGAAACTCCTCACAATCTACCAAGTTGAAATATTAACAAGAAAAAAAGGAAATCAGCAGCCATATTATTCAAGGCATAATTTTCATTTCTTGTGACAATGCCCTTCTAAAGAACAGAGTAAAACGTTACGGAATTGCAATCTCTACTGCAAATTATTAGCAACAGAACAAGAAGCAAGCAGATCTTCAGAGGTTAAAAGATGCTGATGAACAGAGGGTAAGAAAGAGTTTTATCTCTCCACTTGGAGAAGGGGTGTGTGTGAGCTGAAAGGTATAATAAATCTTCACCTTGTTTTTGATTCAATATACAGTACAAGTGTTATGATGTGCATATTTCAAACCTCACTAGCTCCTTTGCTTTTTGTCTTTGGAAATATATTAAATGTAAAGCAGGAGAACACCAGCTAACCTTACAGTCTAAGAGGATTTTAATAATAAGCATCTTTAAAAAGTGAGATGTGCTATAAATGATGTTACCAGAGACATTTATAAACCTTGATTAAAAAAAATATACAATCTCTAAAGCTTCTTAGACTCGCCTTCCAGGAGAGATTGGCAGCATAAAAATTTAATAATAAGAAATAAAAAAGGAACCAATACTGTGGGTTAATATTAATATTAATATCTCTTCAGCATTTGTTAACTGACTAAATTCACTGAAGCAAAAGCTAAGAACCTTCCATACCAATTTAAAATTGTGTATAAATGAAAATATAAGCTTTAACTAAATAGCTAAAAATATAACCTAAAATAGGGTCTTTTAGATTACTTGAGAATCCTAAAGATTAATTCAGCATCCTCAACCAACCAATGCAACATTTAATCATGACTTTAAAAAGTCTTACAAATCTGAAAAAGTGGGAACAATGACTTGCCATTGTCAACTCTAGTTACCGAATCCAAAAGGAACACCGACTGCATTCTCACAGATGTTTAAAACACAACCCAATTACGTACTTGCCCCTGCATGTTCATGATGACCACTGTATTTGATCTGTTACAAACAACAAAGTGCTCCGGATTTTTAGGCAGGAGAATCACACTGTTCACAGTGATGTCTGTTCCAGCTGTGCTACCCAGGGATTTGAACGTGTTACAGCATTCTGTAGTCTTCATATTCCAAACCTAACAAATAAACGGGAAAGGGAAAATATGCAAATTCCATATTAGAATGAAACCCCACATGTGTCTTCATGCAGGATATATAATGGCCCTAACCAC